AGGAAGGAAGGAAGGAAGGAAGGAAGGAAGGAAGGAAGGAAGGAAGGGAGGGAGGGAGGGAGGGATGGAGGGAAGAAAGGAAGGAAGGAAGGAAGGAAGGAAGAAAGAAGGGAGGGAGGGAGGGAGTGGGAAGTGAGGGATGGAGGGAGGGAGGAAGATTAGAGGTATGAAAAAAGAAAGAGAAAGTTAGTGGAAAAAAGGCAAAGTAAAAGAAGCCAATTTGAACATGACACTACTATGAAGCCTGTGACCTTCTGGAAAATTCTAATTATGGCAAAAAATGATTGGTCATCAGGAGCTAGAGCAGGAGCATGTGTGAATGGAACACATAGGACTTTGAGGGCCGTCAAGCTATGTGGTATGGTACTAGGGTGGTTGATGTGTCTCGTACATTGGTCCAGATCCTTGTAATGCACAACACCCAGTAAAGCACACCAAAGGTAACAATGATGTGGTCACTGATGAGGAGGATCATCAGTTGGAACAAGAGCACTGTCTGGTAGGAGATACTAACAGTGAAGTAGCTTATGTGTGTGAGGGCAGGGTATAGACATATCGAAGGTATCTGTACACCTTGCTCAGCTATTTTCTGTCCACCTAAAACTACTGTTTTTAATATGAAAAATATCTCATCTTTATTTTGTGTGGATAGTTGTCAATATATCAGGAACTGAAATGATTACACAAAAGATACCAAAAACTCAGAATGTTAAAAGCATCGATAGTTGTTAATACCTGATTGGAAGTGTAGGCACCTGGCAGGTTCTGAATCCTTAAAACTACTCTTTAAGAATTTATTCATTAAAAAACATTGTGGTTATATACAAAATAGATGTAAAGGACTGGGAAGGTGGCTCAGTGGTAGAGTGCTTGCCTTGCATGCCAGAGGCCCTGGGTTCGATTCCTCAGCACCACATAAGCAAAAAGAAAAAAGCCAGAAGTGGTGCTGTGGCTCAGGTGGTAGAGCGCTAGCCTTGAGCTGAAGAGCTGAGGGACAGCGCCCAGGCCCAGAGTTCAGGCCTCACGACCAGACCCCCCCAAAAAAAATAGATGTAATAAAGATAATATACCTAAAGTCATGCTTTTCAAAAGCATAACTTATTACTCTAATTAATCATATTTCAACAATTAAGGGTAGTAATTTGCTTTACTGTAGAAAATGTAATGTAGTTGGACATGGTGGTACATGCATATAATCCAAGTATTGGGGAGGCTGAAATAGTATTATGTGCTGGAGGCAGCATTGGTTACAAAAGTAGGACTCTGATTCATGAAAACTAATGTATATGTATATATATACACATATGTGTATGGATAGATAAGATAGAATCTCTTAAATAGGTAGATAAGTAGATAGATAGATAGATAGACAGACAGATAGAATCTCTTCATTAACTTCCAATTGAAATGCAAAGTGATGGAAACAAAAGGCTCTCAAACATCCCAGCATTTGCCTTTGAGAATCAATGGACCTTCTACTGTGGGGAAAATATAATAAAAGAAAAGCATGTAGCAATTTTACTTTAAAAAACAAAAAAGAAAAGCAAAGCCTGGCAGTCACCAATGACTCACACCTGTAATCCTAGATACCCAGCAACCTGAAATCTGAGGATCTCGGTTCCAAGCCAGCTCTGGCAGGAAATTCCATGAGACACTTATCTCCAGTAAACCACCACCCCCCCCCCAAAATAAAAAATAAAGTCAGAAGTGGAGCTTAAGGACAGCATCCAGGCCCTGAGTTCAGGCCCCAGGATGAACACAAAGGAAAAAATAGCCTAAGAGAGAGGAAAATGCACCATGAAAAAGTTCATGTAATGTTTGGTGCTCAGCTAGCCATGTCTGTATGAGGTGTGGCTGTGATTTCAGAATAGCTGAGTGACCATCTGAGGAGGCCAAACTCCCTCTGCATCTAGACCTGGCACCATGCAGCCCACCCTCATCACAGTGAAGATGATGCACCTTGATAGCAACAGCCCAGCTCAAGCCTGGACTGACCTACTTCCCAGGGCATCTTCTTCCCCCCCACATCACTTCTTCAAGGGCTGAATTCCAACCCTTCCCACCTGCCTCTGGTCCCTTCTTGCCTTGAAGAAACATTCAGAGGCTGTTGTGGCCGCCAGCTCTCTCGAGTGCTCTCCATTCTGCTCCCCTAATCCCTACCCACTTTACTTTCTCCTCAATCAGAGAGAGGCTCTGACATCCAACTCCTCATTCTAAAACCATGAGCAAACAAAATAAACATGAAGAAATAGGTACTTGCAAGGGAAGCCAAGGGGGAAGGGGTAGATAAATGAAACACAGAAGATAGGGAGGTTGCAGTCAAGAATTTGTTGAATATACTACAAAATTAAGTAAGGAAAGGGGTGGGGGTGAGAATTTTGAAAGGGGTGACACTGATCAAGATGCATCATACTCATAATCTGCTGTGTCAAATGGCAATCTCTTTGTACAACATTTTAAAATAATAAAAAACTGAAAGTAAATAAAACAATGGGCAACTGACCTCCATTCTCTGGGCCTCGAATTACCAATTTGTAATGTGGGAAACTTAAAATAGATGCCTACTGAGGCTTCCTCCATTTCTATGAACCTAGCAGACTCTCAGTGCTGCCATACAGAGGAGAAAAATGATGATTTCCCTCATGGACATACTTGATTCAACCTCAAGATAGGGCAGAATGTGGTTTCATTTATAGTAGTAACAGTAAGATCTGATTGTTATGCTTCTGGAGTCACCAGCAAGCATTGGCCCACTTGGTTCTCTTCCACCCCATAAGATTCTATCTTATCTAGCCACACATATATGTGTATGTATATACATATGTACATATATATTTGTTTTCATGAATCAGAGTCCTACTTTTGTAGCCAATGCTGCCCTCCAGCACATAAGCCTACTTCAGCCTCCCCAGTACTTGGATTATATGCGTGTACCTCTTATTGCACAGAAGGGAGTGACAAATTAACAAGGAAAGTGGGGTCGTTTAAGCAATGCTCATGCGGGAGTTTGCTTGAAATGAAATTTAATAACCTAAAGTTAATTTTCTAACATCATTTCACATTCATTTAGCAGCTGTAATACAGAATGGCAAGATAGTGTGTGTTTGTGTGTGTGTGTGTGTGTGTGTGTGTATCCAGGAATCAATGAATATTCAAGTCATTGAAAATTCATTACTGTAGCTAACAGGGAAATGTCAAAAATAATTCCGTTGAAAACTAAAGCTGGATTCAATATGCCAGGAAAATGTACTGAAGAATCAGAATGAAATTTCACTTAAATGTTGCCTAAACATAGTTCTATCAGCTATATGCTAAGACTTTGATTCAAAAAAATTTTTTTAAGTATTGATTCAAAAATTAATTGAGTCAATTAATTAACTCAAAAATTCAGTTAGAATCTCATCTATATCAACTGAGTCATTTTAATTCCCTTCATTCTTCACTCCATCTTCATAGCCTCCCCATTGCAACATTCATTACTGATAGGGTTCAAGGAGACTTTTATAATACAGTAAAAGATATGAGTAGATGAGACAGTTGCAAAGTACAGGAATCCATTGTGAACCATCTCTGTGAATTCTGAGAGCAGTTTTCCCAATAGTGTGCACACAGCTCCATCCTCAGCCTGGAGAAGGAGAAAGGGGTGTGTCCCACACTGTACCTACCCCCAGCCCCACACACACACCCCGGCCAGCCCTTAGGAGTTGCTAGTGTTCACTGTCCCCTCTTACTCAATCTTCTCAGCTGCTGTTGGAAATGAGGGTCACCCTGATTCTATATAAAGCTCAGAACAATCTCAGTGGCCTTCCTGGTGTCACTCAGGGAGGCGGAGGAAGGTGGAAGCTCTCGTTCCTTCCATTATACAACTTGTTCTCATCTCAGTGACTGCGAGACGTAAGATGCATGCCAGACCTAGAGATACCTGGCACAATCACATCTTAGCAGGCATGGCGCCACATCCTCAGAAGTGGTCCTCCATTTGCTCAACCTTGAGGATCTGGAGAACCCACACACTGTCCATAAACCTATGGGCGGTGGTGTTGAGCCCACACCAGCCCTCATTCAGGGATCTCTGCATCCTGACATAGACTTTAACTGAACATCTCTCAAGTCATCACCCCCACCCTGGATTCTGAGGGGACACATACGGAGTGTGTCTGCACCTCCTCCTGGCTCAGGCTTTGCCTACATGCACTCACCAAGGATGCCCCCATCAAGGTGTCCACTCTCCTCCACCCCTTGCTGGTTCACCTCACCCCTGTTCAGCTTCTTCCTAGCACTTCTCACGTACAAGTGTTCATTGGCACTCTCATTCCTGCCTAAGGCTCACCTCTGCTCCCTCCTCCCAACAGGTGCTTTTCTGCACACCTAGCTCTAAGCCTCAGCTGCCCACACCCAACAATGATTCCATTCCAGGGCTGCCGACCCATCCTCTCTGAAACTAGACTTTGGCCTTTCATCCACAGTGTCCCTTCCTGAAGAAGCCGGATTCTTTCCTCTATGACATTCTTCACCATTTCCTCACTTGTACCCAATGAGCTCCAAATGCAGTATCTCTTATTCACTCCCATGTGAACACACTAAATGTTTAGGAATCTCAGGGGATGGAGACATGATCACAGAAGGGATCTTGGCATTTATTTGCTCCTTTACTCACCAGCACTGGCTGGTGTCAACTGAGCTCTAACCACCATACATTGGGTTCACTCCAGTCAGTAAGACAGGCTTCATATAGAATGCAAGTGCTCACCATGGTGGGACACCACTCTGAGAACACAGGTTTTCATAAGAGAGTGATCCTTCTCTCAGTGAGCTACAGACCATAGAGGGAAGGGAGGGCCAGAGGAGAAAAACAAAGGAGGGAGTAACAATGCTCAACAAGAAATGTACTCATTGCCTTGCTCATGTAACTGTAACCCCTCTATACAGCATCGTTACAATAAAATAATTTTTTAAAATGAGAAATGCTTTGTGGACCACCCAGCATAGCCTGGGGGACTGCATCTTCTGTGTCACAAACCAATGATTAGGACATGGCTTCTGCCTACAAGAAACATTGACTCTAGTAAAAATGAGAGATACAAAAGTATTGTCTTGGATAGACAGTTCCTCAAAGTCCTTGTAGCAAAGGAGGTAGGAAGTCCAGGATGAAATGTCCCCAACTCTAGGCTACAGAGCATAGCTGGAGGTCATGTCAAGGAGACAGCAGAAGTACATTCTATGGGAAAATACACAATGACCAGAAAGCTCAGCATCAAGTCAGGAACAGATTGCTCAAAAAGGCTGGGACAGGATCTGGCGAGGAGGAGAGTATAGGCATAGGCCCGATGGGTACAGACCTAGTAGCCAGATAAGCAAGACTGTGGTCTGTGCTAAAAGAAACTCAGAATACTGCATCCCTTACTGGGAAAGTTCTGGAAAGTAGTCTGGGCAATTATCAAGCAGCTCACCTGCAAAGATGATGAGCACACGTAGAGCAATCATCTTGGCTTTCTGCAGCACCTCCATGTCTTCTGAGGACATCTCTAGCTGCTGGAAAGCTTGGCACATGTCAACAACACTTAGGAAGAAACACAATGGCATTAAGCATTCAATATCTGTAACCAGGTACATTGCTACACATGTGCATTGTCTCTGCCCAACTGTATTCATGTCACAATAACAAGAAATGCACAGATAACACTAGTTAGACTCCCAGAGAGATTTGTGTCCCTATTTACTTAAATCATTGGTTTAATTGCCAAGAGGCATAATATTTGCTTTCTTTTTGTTTTTGCAAAGGTAAATGATTATAGGGAATCAAATGATGATGACATACATTGGGTGCCAATGGTTCACACCTGTAATTTTAGTTACTAGGAGGCTGAGATCTAAGGATTGTGGTTCAAAGCCAGTCTGGGTAGGAAAGTCCAAGAAACTCTAATTTCCAATTAACCACCAAAAAATCTAAAAGTGGAATTGTGGCTCAAGTAGTAGAGCACTAGCTTTGAGCAAAAAACACTCAGGAATAGCGCTCAGGTCCAAGCTCCAGTACTGGCAGAGAGGAAGGAAGGAAGGAAGGAAGGAAGGAAGGAAGGAAGGAAGGAAGGAAGGAAGGAAGGAAAGAAGGAAGGAAGGAAGGGAGGAAGGAAGGAAGGAAGGGAGAAAGGAAGGGAGGAAGGAAGGGAGGGAGGGAGGAAGGGAAAGGAGGGAAAAGGGAAGGAGGGAGGGAGGGAGGGAGGGAGGGAGGGAGGGAAGGGAAGGTGAGGGAGCGAGGGAAGGGAAGGGAAGGGAGGAGGGGAAAGTGTTTTAGAGGATAGTTATGCTAATGACTGTGAGCTGATCATTGTCCAATGTACATATAGTATCCAAATACCAAAGGAACTGAACACCAATGTTTCATTATTGTAATCCCAGCTACTCAGTAGGTTGAAACCAAGAAGATTGTGGTTCAAAGTCAGCCTAGGCAGAAAAGTCTGAGAAATTCCATATCTAAAATAACCGTCAAAAAGTAGGGCTGGCAGATTGTGGGTGGCTCACACCTGTAATCCTAGCTACTCAGGAGGCTGAGATCTGGAATCATGGTTCAAAGCCAGCCCAGGCAGGAAACTCAGTGAGACTCTTATCTCCAATTAACCACCAGAAAACTGTTGGCTAAAGTGATAGAGCACTTGCCTTGAGCTGAAGAGTTCAGGGATAGCACCCAGACCCAGAGTTCAAGCTCCATGACCCCAAAAAAGTAGGGCTGGAGATGTGGTTCTAGTGGTAGAGCCCCAGCTGACTGAGCAAGCATGGGGCTCTGAGTTAAACCCTGGTATCAAACTGTACCCCATAAATATAAAACAAGCAGCTGCTCTAAAAATAAAAATAAAATAAGCAATTTTTAAAACTTTATGGTATATAGAATTGTGGAACAAATTCCCTTAACAGAAGACTGAAAAAAGTAAGATGAAACCGGGCATAAGTGGCTCACATTTGTAATCCTAGTTACTCAGGAGATTGAGATCTGAGGATTGAGGTTTGAAGGCAGTCTATGCAGGAAAGTCAATGAGACTCTAATATCCAATTAACCACCAAAAAAAAAAGCTGGAATTGGAGCTGTGGCTTACATGGTAGAGCATTAGCCTTGAGCACAAAAGCTCAGGGACATCGCCCAGGCCCTGAGTTCAAGCCCCACGACACACAAAAAAAGGTAAGATGAGATTGGTGGGAAACAGAAATTGCCAATCCCACCTGCACTTCAAAAGTAGAGCAAAACTAAAGCCACAGTTTAGTTTCATATCAGAAGCAAGAAGGAGATGAGGCAGGAAGCTCTGAAAGCCAGTATATGTATTTCATCAGAGTTATATGCTCAAGATATAACTAAAGACAACCTCCTAAATATGATAAAAATGACTGGGTTCAAGGGGAAGCTCTGTAACAAAGCTAGCAGAAAATAGGTCAGCTGGTCTGGTGGCACATGAACAAGGGTTTAAAGATTCCTCTGATTTCTACATAGGAGTGAAAGAAAGACAGGTATAGTCAGGACCATGAACAATCTAAACAGTCCTGTCCCTCCTTGAATGAATAAATTGAGCTAGCACAGAACTTCTGGGTCTCTTCTGCACACAAAGAGGAACAAATCCTTCAATCTAAAGAAGCAGAGAGTTTCCAGAGCATGAGGCCTAACAAGACTGAAGCTTGTAAGAAGAGTTTTCCTTTATCCTAACGTGAGAGATGGATCAACTATTTAAAGGTGGTTTCAACCTAACAGTGCAGAACCAAACAATGCCTGGGCTAGATTGGGTAGCTATAAATGCAAGCATTATTTTCTGCTCAAAATGAGCTAATATTCTTGGCTTTACAGCTAATATTAGGACCCTGAACTATCTGAGTATATTCAGAAAAAATGGTTTTTATGTACCTAGTCTTGAGATATGTAGGTAGAGTACAAGGCTTTGTGTTGTGTGTGTATGCGTGTGTGTGTCTGTGTGTCTGTGTGTCTGTGTGTGTATTGGTACTGGAGCTTTGACACTGTCCCCTTAACTTTTTCACTCGAGGCTAGCACTATACCACTTCACCCTTAAATCCACTTCTGATTTTTGGTGGTTAATAGGAGATAAATATCTCAGAAACTTTTCTGTCTGGCAGGCTTAAATCCAGCTTTGCATTTGCTTTTAAGAGTAATTTACTTTAGAAAAACTCTGAGTACAAATCATATTCGCTTGTCAAATAATGAGTTAAATATAAAAAAATTATTATTGGTCCTGAATCACTCTTGATGGAGGCCAACTGCAGAAGTGTCGAGATCTACTTACCCTAATCTGTTGTTGGGTATTGCAGTAGAGGAAAAGTAGAGTGAGAAAGGGTTTTTGATTACCTTTGATCTGCCAGTAGAACCTTTTGCCAATATCCAATGAATAGAAGTAATCTCTTCAAGTATGTACTGAACGGTGATAATGGTTTGAGGTTATACGGGAAATCTATCATCTCTTCTTTTGGTAACACGACATTCTTTCCAGTAGTTGCATTAAGATAGATTTCAAAAAATTGATGGAATGACGTGTTTATGGAATTCAGCCACTGAGAGTTGTCTGGGAGGGGGGGGTTTCCTAAGAGAACTAGCCAATCTAGCAAATTTTGGATTGCTGTTTCAAGTTGATGATGAGTGATATCCTGAGTCAAAGACATGTTGAAAAGTAAATCTTTGCTTAAATCATCTCCATCTTCACTTGTAATTCCACCGGAGGTCTCTACAACTGTTTCTATCATTCTGAACAGGTTATCTGAACGATCAACCAATGCCTGCAGCAGATTAAAAGCTTCCCAATTGTCCTTTTTTAAGCTATTCCAAAGGGCTTCTAATGTGAGATCAAGTATCATTTTAAAAGATTTCCCTATTTTTGTGCTATTTTCTGTTAACATTCCATCCCCCAAATGAAACGGTTCATAGATTTTTTCCCATATTGTATCTTGAGGACTACGATGAGAGGAAATTGGATTAAGCTTTAAAAAGTTCATTTTGTGGGTGATGTTATTGATAGGAACTAAGCAATTCAAAATTTCTTCCCCCAAGTTGACAGAATCCATAGAAAATATTTGAGTCCCATTATTAAATGCCACCACAAGATGCTCCAAATCTCCCAAATTGATTTCCATTGAAGTTAAAAACTCAGATATTTCTTCCAAAATATTAGAAAAGTCATTGGATTGGCTCACAATTGAGACTACACTAGATGACATATTGAAAACGTCAGAGTCCTGTGAAATATTGGGCTTCACCCCCAACATCCCAAAGGTCAAGTCAAGAAATGGCATCAGCAAATCATTCATCTGTTCAAATGTCACATAATCTACTTTTCTCAAAGGAATTCTTTCCTTCACAAGATGGTGGACACTTTGCTGCATGACAGAATAGAAAATATTAAAGAAGTCCACGGTATCCTGAGTGTTGGGGACAAAATGAGTTTCAAAGATGGTGGCCATCTTCCCTGAAACTTTCTTTGCTAGCTTAAGAAGTTTCACAGCAAAGTCCATATCTGTGGCAATATCTCTCAGCTCAGCACTGCCATTCAGCAGCATGGTGAGGATTCTAGACATTTCTAAGAGGGGCTCCAGGTCATGACTTTCTTTATCAACTCTAGAGATAACATCGAGTAACCTCTTAGTGAGTTCTAATGTTTCTCTATTTCTTAGAGGAAATGAGTCCTTTATAAAGGAAAGCAAGTTGGTTAGGTCAGCAAGTACAAGTTTTTGGAGTGCAAGAAAAGAGGTCTGGAAGTCTTGATTATGAGACTTTGAAAGAATGTCCATAAGATTTGACATCTCTGTGGAAATTTCTCTCACAAGGTGAAGGATGGAAGTAAGATTTTGGTTGAGGTTGATGAGTTTCTCAGAGTTATTCATATGGAAAAGCAGTTCACTCACCACCATAAGGAAGTCTGGATTATCTTCAGTCTCATTTTGCAGTGAAGTTTCCCTTAGAAGGGCATGAAATAAATCTCGTACAAATGTCAGTCCTCGTTGGCTATCAAAAGAAAATTCTCCACTGTTTAACATAAATGAGCTTCTGATTAGATGAAATATAGTTCCCTTTAACCATGAGAAAAAGCTCATCAATCTGTATTCATTCATCAGTGTAAGAAATTGATCCAATTTCAGTACCTCTCGAATTTTATCTTTTGAGATAAAGCTGTAAATATGTATTAATTTTTGTTAATATATTATCAACAGAAAGATTAAAATATATAGTGATTTTAATGATGCCATTAATTTCATAATAGCATGGAATGATAATGCTTAGTGAAAGATGGATTACTGAAATGATTCTAGATGAACCTTAACAATTTGCTACCAAATAATGCAAAGAGTAGAGGACTTGAATGGCCAATCCTACCGCAATTCTTTGAAGCTAATGTTCAAAAAAAATCCATATTCATTTGTTTTTAGAAAAGAACTTAATTCACTACAAAGTGATTCTTGATATACAAGGTAAGTCTCTGAAAAATTTCAAAGTCTATTTTATACTTTCTGTGAACTTTTAAATTACTAGCTATCACTTAGACACTGTGATTGCTTTACAACATGACAACTTGGCTAAGCTAACCAATAGCCCCAAGGACCTCTTTCTCTCTTATGTCTCTAATTTGGTTATGCACTAAAGGAGATTCCCCCTAGGGAGTTGAAGGGAAGATGGGAGTTAAAGCACAAGACATAAATATGTCTCCTACTAGCTACCAAGTCTAAGGCAAATAGAAATGCTGCTGATATAGGACTTTATATAAAGTCCCTTGTCAGTTGACTACATGTTAGTCAAAATGAATATTGTCTAGGTGGACCTGACATCATCAGGTGAATTAATTGCAAAAGAGTCACATAGAGCCTCCTGACCTAGAGACTCCAATAGTAGCTATAAAAGCCATTGCTCTCCCTTCCCCTTAAAAGTTCTTTATATACCATCAAGAGGGAGAACTTTGGCTCATGTCCCTGATGTCTTTGCCTACTATGAACTACCCTACCTGTACCCTTTCTGAATTTGCATTTTCATATCATGTTTCCTAAATTATGTACCCAAGTCTCTCTCTTCCATCCTTGGTAAACATCCATGGTTGAAACTTGAGTGATAGAACATGGAATATAGTTAACTTTCTCAGTAGTATTTTCACTAGTAACTGACAGAGATTTTTAAACACCCTGAACAGAAATAATGTGACTAGTAACTTTAATGCTCCTAAATACAAAACCACAGTAGATAAATTAGAAGGGAAAATATTAAAACCCTTTAAGATTAGACAGAGAACAGAAAAGGTTATCATGTTCATGTTACATGTACATATTTATCCATAAAATATTAATTTTTCAGTTGTACATAAGACAGAATTTTATAACTGTTTTCATAATCTAAAAATTGAAATATAATGTATGATCATCCCTGGCTAGGTTTAAAAGCTTACTGATGAAATGGCAGTAATCAAAGTAATTTTACCTTCACAGTTTTGAAAAATGCTCATTAAGGCAATGAATTAATTGGCATTTCTCTACTCCAGAAATTAAAGTGGGCTGAGCCATACACATATTATACAGAGGCAAGGTACACTTACCTCATTTCTGCAATAACATCTTTGTGGAAGCCTTTCAGCAGGAAAGAAATTTTGTTCCCAGATTTTTCTTTTAGGGAGAATGTTCTCAAAAGCTCTTCCATGAAATCCATTATACTTCGCAGAGGGAGAACTATCTCCCCACCTTTTTCTGACTGTAAATGATCCAGGGTGAGGTTAATGAAATTCATCATTTGGAGATCACTATCACCTAAATTTGGAGCTGTTACTTGAGAACCTGATGCTAAGTTATTGAAAGAATTAATTAGAATGTTGACAAGAAGTAGCTGTACAACAGAGAAATTACTTAGTTGCTCTTCGTTAAGCAGCTGTGTGAGAGTGGCAATGTCAGAATTGTTTTCCCTAGAAATGTCTTTTAGATACCCCAGGTTGCTAGTGATATCTTTAGTCAGCATAGTTATAACATCAGTTGAATTTTCATTGTCCATAGTAGCTAGTAATGTTTGCATCAGTGGGGAATAATCTTCATTCGCATACACAGAAAGCCAGTTTTTTGTCACCAATAGGAAATCTTCAATAATTCCTAATGCCTTTGATGTTGATAAATTTAGGATTTCCAAAAACTGGGTAAGTTTCAGAGTTATATTTGGAGGGTCCACAGAATTTATGTCTTGGATTTCTTTGTTAAGTTCAGAGAACAGGTGCTTGACACTAAAGTTGTGGGTTAAGTCTTTCATGATTTGTTTGAAGTAAACCCACAGTTCTTCAAAGTTGTTAGTTGATTTTCTTTTCTTAATAAAATCTGATACAGTTTCTAAACTATTGTATGTAAGATTTGCATTCAGAAGAAATAAAAATGGAGACAGTAAATAATGAGTACTATTTTCTAGATACCTATCTCTAGAAATCAATTTGACTATCCTTTCCAAGTTTAAAAGAATATTATCATGGGCAGCTATCTCTGCACCGTTGGTAATGTTAATAATCTTGTTTAAATCAGCTAATTTAGTAAGAATATTTTCACTTGATGTACCTTTTGTAAAGCTCAGATGCTTTAGTTTTTCTATTATTTTCAAAGCAACCTGTTTCATGGGACCACCAGGACAAGCTTCGTGGATGCTGTCATTACTTTGATTTCCAAAAGGTGAAACAAATGGTAAGATCCTGTGCCAAAATCCTTGTACTGTTTTCACAAGTGGAGTTTGAATATGGAAGACTTCAGACAGATTTATAAGAATAGAATTCCAGTCCACTAATTCATGTATTACACAGACCACTTTCCTAGTCATTTCAATTCTAGAGCTTTCGTTTGAACACTGTGACTCTTCACCAAGAGGAGACAGGTGGAGATGGTCAAGGATGTTGGTCACTTTTTCATAAAAAGAAGAAGACATAAAGCCATGGATATTACAAGTTTCTAACTTTGACTTCTGCTGAAACCCTGCTGTACCATTCCAGCACCAAACCACAGGAAAGCAAGTTAGAGCTTCGGACACAAGGGCTGGTTGGTCTGATATTAACTCAATGACATCTAGAAGAGTTTTGATCACAGTGGCAAAGTCTTCCTTGGTGATGTTGGCAGTGCTTATACCATGAAGGAGTGTGAAGTTATAGATATCCTTGAGGCTCTCTGTGATATTTTTATCAGCAATTCCCTGGAGGAGCCCCGTAATATGAGGAAGAGCATAATATAAATCCACCACAGCATTCATGTCATCTTTAGGAAATAGCCGAGAGAGTTGCAGCAGATGATTAACATTCCATGAGTGTGAACCAGCCATAAATTTTTCCACCAAGCCAATGAGTAAGTTGACCCCTGAATTGTCAGGACCTAATCTACTAAGATTCTTAAAGAAATCTATTAGGCCTTCACTGATTTGCTCAAGTTGGTCAACTAATAAGTCTATGTCGGCCTTCTTGAGAGCATGCATGAGGGAAGTCACTTTATTTAAAACTCGAACATGACTCATATTTTGTGGAGTATTGGAGTGGACCACAGGCATCAAGGAGTTGAACACATCCCTAATCAACTGAATAACAAGACCCGAAGCTTTCACTAATTCATGTGGAGTACTTTCTGATGAATTTTGGAGATCATGAGTTAGGCTGAAGGCAAAATAATTAGCTAAATGATAAATGGAGTTGCGCAAATTGTTTATATCCTTTTCCTTTGGACTGGTGGAAAATATTCCAAAAAGTTTTTTCATACTAGGAAAGGAATTTCTTTCCAGGATAGCAGGAGAAAAATCTTGTAAGCGTTTCTGTATTTCCTTCCCCAGTGTTGTTATATGCAGCCATATGTTTTGAAACTGATTGGGAATTCCATCTAATGTATCTACAGGTGTTAGAAGTAATTCATTAAAATGTTTCCAATTGGATTGGGAGAGGAAATCAAAGTCCCTTGTTAAGTTATGGATAATCATCTTTACTTGGTTTGTAGAATCATTTAAAAGAGCTAATAAAATCTCAAATTCTGGTACCCTCTCTTTTTCCAAGACTGGATTAAGTATAATATTTAGAAAGTCAGCCAGGTCTTTCAAGTAAATATTTATACAATTTATAGTAGACTCATTTAAAGAACAAAGCCTTTCCTTTGTATTGAATAACCAAGTTAGAATTTTAAATGTAGAGTTCATTGTGTTTTCAATATCCCTTAAATTACTCAAAGTACTATGAAAAGACCCCAGAAAGAAACTTGAGTTAGACATGGCATATATATGGTTTATGACATCTATCCATGTAATGCACCCTTTTAGTATACTAACTGTGTTTTCAGAAGAAAATGTGGAATTTAATATAGCCAGAATCTGTACAGCCCTCTGGGAAGTATTTACATCCAATAAGCCATCTTCCAAAATCAATGAAATAACTTTTTGGAAAACATCAGCACAGGACAATAAATCTTGATCATATGATACATTTCTAAAAAATGTTATTGTTTTTCTTAGTTCATTAATAACACTTTCAAATTTGGCTCCACAATCTGTGAGATTTTTTAAAAGATCGTCATTTATCAAATCTACATTTCTGCCCATATACTTTGTGGGATTGCTTAACCTGGTGAAAACTTCCAGCAGAGAATATATAAACTCCCTGCTTGCACTTGTTTTCAATGGGGCTGACATTAGCTGGTGTAGGGCAGTTTTCATGGCAAAGAATGATTTCTCTACTTCATCCAAGTTAAGTGATTTTACTGTAACTAACTTATCATCTACTGCTACCCACAGATTCCTGAGGTACAGGAGAGAATTCCAATCATGGAAGTCATTGGCTTGTGTTAAGTTTTTTAACAAATTTAAGATGAGTCTAGCAGTATGATGGGTCAGAAACACTCCCTGGCAGCTTTTAGAAATGTTCACGTCATTTTCTAATTCATCCAAAAGCTGAGTGAGACCAACATGAAGAGGAGGGAAAATATGCAGTTCAAATTTAAATATGTGAGAAATGCTTGCCCAGATCTCTGTCCACATTTGAAGCCATGATAGAGTACAGTGAACAGCCATGAACTCGTTGAACACACTGATATTTCCTGAAAAATTAGAAAATTTTCTCTCCCATGGAAGAGTGAAGGAAGTCCCCTCATTTGTTGAATAATTCATAGAAGAAAAGTTATCCAAAATAATAAAGCATTCATTATTCAGCAAGGCTTGTTCTGAGCCATTGAAGAGTTGGCTCATATATTGGAACAAAGAAACACGAAAATCTTCATCTACTACTAGCAACTGTTTGAGGCCTATCAAAGTACTATGGATCACTTCCAACTCTCTGTCTTTGCTAGACTTCAGAGATTGGGTTTTAAGCTCTAAAAAATTAAAAATTGAAAGCAACTGTTGACAGTAAGAAACTTCAGAAATCCTCCCAAGAAATTCTGCTGTCTCTGATAAAAATGCAAATGCATTGCTGATGTTTTGGAAATTAAATTGCTTAACGATGTCCAAAATATTTCTGGAGATTTGGGTCAGATAAGTTATCAAAGACTCTCTACTCTGAATGCTCAAGAATTGATAAATAAGTTGGTAAAATGAAGAATAAATCTGCAGAAGTAAACTTGAATCTTTGTTGTTAAAGACATTCAGGTAGAGATGAGTCAAAATTTTTTCAACTTCCTGCTTTGGGGGTTCAGAAAGGGCTAAGAAAAGACGAGACATATTTTTAATCACGTAGACTGTGTCTAGAGCTTTAGAAACTTCTTCCTGGCTCAGGAATCCGAATTCATAGAGACCATTTATTATAGTTTCACTTAAATATACAAACTCCATGTTCACAGTTGGTGGGCTGGGCAAATCTGAATGGATCAACCTGGACAAGTTAAAACTTGTATTAAGAATCCTTTCATTTTCTGGAACTGAAAATTTTAAGAGAGTAGAGAGTGCTTCTAATTTAACTCTTTCACCTTCGGGAATGCCATAGAGCCATAATTCTACCAGTTTGGGGTTAATTTCAAGAAGCATTAATTCAATGAATCTCAAAATATTTTTGGATTCTGTCCTCATCCAGTGGCTTTCAAGAGTTTGCATTTTGTTGGTCACCTGTTTGCCAAATTCCAGAAGTTTCTGAGTATCAATAGAATATGGGTTTCTGTCTAAATTTTTCATGTGATTTATCCATGGCACGCTTCCATTGTGAACATTCTCAGTGATAGACAAGAATTCAGGAACAATAGATGAATTGGAAGGAACAGGCAACAATAATTCTTCCAAAAATTCCACAAGTAATGAAAAAATTTTCTTCTGTTCATTTTCCTGGGCAAGCAATGTCTCTTCCACTACCAGAAGGTGCTTTGTGAAATTTAAGGCCCTATAACATTAACAGAAGTGCTTTAGAATCAGAAAAAAAAAATGAAGCCTACATACTAATTTTCTAAGATAGTAGTCATTTGTAGTAAACCAAAACATGTGCTCTACATTTCCCAACCCATGGTAAAGTAATGTGAGAATTTAAAATGTTTAACATTTTCACAATGCAGTTGTCCACATTTGTTTCTTACCATCAAATAATGCATTGTAAGTTATTTTCACTTGCACATTAGTACATCTGACTGCGAAAGTTTGCCATCCATGCCAGAGAAATCACAGGACTTTTGCAGTACCTCTCAAAATGTCTTGGCTCAAGAGAATGATACAAATAGTGAGATGCAACAAAAAAGTGTGCCTGGGTGATTTAAGGGAAATCCTTTTGCAAAAGGCATTCTGGGCCCTCCACTGATATTTTCCAACCAGGTGTTTATTTTTAAAGGACAAAGAGTTGTCAGAAGAGCAACTTAGAGTCGTGTCAAGTCTTGTAGAACTAATTTGTAAGTCAGAAGTCACAGGTTACCTAGAAAATTGTTGGAGACTGGACTGGAATCAGCTTCACAATAGTTCAAGCCTCAACCCTGCAGATGAACAGCTGTAAAGCCTGGTGTAGGTGCTCACACCTCTAATCCTAGCTTCTCAGGAAGCTGAGATCTGAAGACTGAGGTTCAAGGCCCCAGACAGAAAAGTCTTTAAGACTCTTATCCCAATTGACCAAAAGTAGAAGTATGGTTCAAATGGTAGAGTGCCAGCCTTGAGCAAAAAAGCTAATTACCAACATACACACACACACACACACACACACACGCATGCATGCATGCATGCACACATGCATGTGCACACATACACACAAGCTGTCCAGAATAAAGGAATTTGGCCTTTTCTGATTACTAATAATTGGAATGATGAATTCCTTAGAACTTTGTTAACTCTGGATTCTGGAGAGAATAAGTATAAGAGACCAAATGTATCAATATTATTTTTCTCTCTAATAAATGTGAACAAAGCATATAACAATAAATTTAATTGACTGCTACTTGTAGGATTGAGTGGTTATTTTGAAAAAATTCTTTGGAAAAATTCTCATCAAGAAAGTTAATGGCCTACCATGAAGAATTTAGTATAAACTGAGTCTGAATCCTGCCCACCATGGAACTACACTATATAGAACAAGGACTACACAAGTGATCATACATTAATAGAGGAAAATGCAAAAAGTGTATCTATTGAGGCCTCAGTACCAAAAAGGAAAAAAAATAGTCTATATGTATATCAAGAGCTATAATGGTAATGAAGTAGCAACAGTAGTATAAGTAAGAACCACCAAAGTAGAAGTCATAGATACGGTAGAATATTTCTATCTAGGTATTCAAAGCACCTTAATAGCCTTAATTATTCCTACAATAGCCTTTTTAGGAACATAATCATTATTCCCATTGCATGAGAAAAATGTTTATTTAAAGTAATGAATGAATTCATACTGTTAGCATGTGGTATGAGCAGGACATAGGCCAGGTTTGTTGTTTTGAATTTAGCTCTCTCAATGTCAATTATGATTGGTCTTTAATATTTGTATTCACTAAATCAACACCTGATTAACTAGCATCTTTCATGAAAGACACTGAACTGTGATGAGTCTAGGAATACAAAATTATAAGATTAATTTTAGTGTGGTCTTTGTGCTCGTGGGTAGGTGGGTATGGGTGTGCACATGCACACTGTTCCTGGAGCTTGAACTAAGGTCCCAGGTGCTATTTCTGAGCTTTGTTTTTTGTTGTTTTTTTTTGCTCTCTACCACTTGAGCCATAGCTCCACTTCCAGCCTTTTAGGTAATTAATTGAGAATCAGAGTCTCACAGACTTTCCTGCTGGGCTGTCTTCAAACTGCAATTCTTAGATCTCAGCTTCCTGAGTAGCTAGGAGTACAGGCAGGGTACCTGGCTGGTGCCAGGGTACAGGGTACCTGGCTGGTATCATCTTTTTGGGACAGTTACTTAGTTCAGGTTTCAAGAAAGTGAGGAGCTATTAATTTGCCATGAGGAGGAAACTGATTCTTAGGGGGTCCCTTCCATTGTCCTTCTATGACCACTGATCACTGGGCAGAAGGTGCTACTGGCTCATGCCTGCAATCCTAAATACTCAGGAGGCTGAGATCTGAAGATCACAGTTTGAAGCCAGCCTGGGCAGGGAATTCCATGAGACCCTTATTTCCAATAATCCACCAAAAAAGCCAGAAGTGGAGCACTGGAACAAATGGTAGAGTACCAGCCTAGAGCAAAAAAAGCTAATAGACAGTGCCCAGGCACAAAAATAATCATAATAATCCCTCCAGGGTGATGAACCTCAGGTCCAGAGTAGTGTAGCAGAATGGTTCTCAGACTTTGGTGCACATGAGAACCCTCTATGGAATTTGCTGAACAACAGAGAAATCTTGGTACCATGCTGGAAAAATCGATAGAGAAAATGAAGAGTAAGACTGAAGAAGTAAAGCTGAAGCAAAGTATGACATTTGTGCTTTAAGCAAATATCACATGTAAATTTGGTCCACTGTGAAGTTGGATGCTACTCTTCTAATACAAAGCTCCTGTTCCATTAAGTCTTAATGCAGCTCACAAACGATGAGTACTTTACAAATGGACATAGCATCTGTAACCATGTGCAAGAAACCCCATCTCAAAACATGTTGAAACAGCAGAGCAGGAAATAATCTGGCATATTTATATCTAAAGATTATTTCTTTTCCCAACACCTCCAGAACCATGAAGACCTAAATCATTGATCCCATGACAAAACTCTAAGCAACTAGATGAGACCATTTCTCCAAAAAACATTTCACTTTAACAATATACATTATAAATCTTAGTGCAATTGCAGGAAAATTATTACTATAATCTATATCCTCAAAATCCATGTAAACCTATGTTATGCATTTTATAAATAAATAGCTTACCTAATGTGAAATACTGTGGCAATGCTTAAATCAATCTCATAGATAGTAAAGAATGAATAGCCTATGAATAAGTTTTACATATCTTCAGACAATAGTTAAAGTGTATCTGGAAGTTGAATTCCAAATACTTACCTGGAAATGGAAGTTATTGGAGACTTCATTAAATTATTTAAAAGTATAAAATAATTATTGCTGATGAGTTTCCAATCTATGTTTTCTTTATAACAAGGAGAGTCCTCAGAGAACACTAGGTGGAAACATATTGACATTAAATTGAGCATAACAGACAAATCCAGTTGAGTAAAATATGCCACAGACATTCACTTAAAATGGTTTAAAATAAGCCAGGTGCTGATGGCTCATGCTTATAATACTAGCTACTGAGGACCTGGGTTCAAAGTCAGCCTGGAAAGAAAAGTTCAAAAGAGCCTTATCTCCAATTAACCAGCAAAACTTGGAAGTGGAGTTGTGGCTCAAGTGGTAGAGCACAAGCTATGAGCTAAAAACCTGAGTGTGAGAGAGAGAAATTCTGAGCTCAAGCCTCAGTTCTGCACACATGCACACATTCACACACAAGAAAAGACTGCAAATGTTAAAAATGAAGATAACTTCTTGATTTGACATCTGCCTCCAGAAAAGATGATACACCACTAGCCACTAGCCAATGAACAATGACAAATTGCAGATTGACAACAAACAGGGTAAGATGGATGAATGATTATCTCAGTTGACTACTAAAAGAGGGTTGATTGTCTCAGTTGACTACTAAAAGGGGGTCCAGGTCCCAATATATGAAGAAGAAACCAGAGCCAGTGCATGTGCTGAGCTCAACAGATGGAGCTCAGTGTTGGGAGACAACAATGGTCCTCAGTGGGCAAGAGAGGGCTGCGCAAACAAGAACATCATCACAATCTTCCATCTACTACCAGCTGACAACTAATCATCTGTGTGAGGATGCCATGAGAGACTAACTAATTCAATCCCAAAGTGATTAATGATAAACTGCTTAGTGATCACACAAGCTTGTTTCCTTGAACCAGAATATAATAATGGATGAGTCATCAGTGGTGGATATGAATCTGTAGAAAGGATTTTGTATCAATAGTAGGTATTATCTACAACCAGAATGAAAATTTGGCCAGTTTTGTCTCCTACATCTTTAAAGCAAGATCCTGAGGCTAGGATCTATAATAAAACACTTGCCTAGCATATGGAAGGCCCTGAGTTTATTCCCCAGTACCACATTAGAAGAAAAGCAGAAGAAGGAGGAGGAGGAGGAGGAAGGGGAGGAGGAGGAGAAGGAGGAGGAGGAGGGAGAAGGGGAAGGGAAAGGGGAAGGAGAAGGAGAAGAAGGAGAAAGAGAAAGAGAAGAAGGAGAAGGGGAAGAGGAACGGGAAGAGGAAGAAGAGGAAGAGGAAGAAGGAGAAGGAGGAGGAGGAGGAGAAGAAGAAGAAGAAGAAGCAACAGCAGCAGCAGCACCGCCACCAAGCACTGGTGGCTCACACCTGTAATCCTAGCTACTCAGGAGGTTGAGATTTGAGGATTGAGGTTTCAGTCTAGCCTAAGCATGAAAGTACATGAGACTCATATCTCCAGTTCACCACCAAAAAAACAGAAGTGGAGCTGTGGCTCAAGTGGTAAAGCACTAGCCTTGAGTAAAAAAGCTCAGGGACAGTGCCCATGGCCTGAGTTCAAGCTTGAGAGCTGGCACAAAAGGAACAAAAGAAAGAAAGAAACAAAAAGTAAACAAGAGAAAAAGAAGAGGAGGGAAGAGAAAGGATAGAAAACCTTTTAAAAACTAGTATAAAACAAGTTGGTTCCAAAAATACAAAAATAACCAGTAAAAATAAGGTTAAATGTGGCACCTAATCAAAATTTACCAAGTATGAAAAGAAGGGAAATGATGAAAGAAAAGTTAACCAAAACTGACAGAGAGGTGGAATTTGCAGGTAAGAACATGAACCATATGACTGGCTTTCATTATCCAATTTGAATGGCTTAAACAGTTCAATTAAAGAGCCAAAACATGTCAGAGCAGATTAAAAAAGACCTAACCATATTTTACTTATAAGAAGTGCACTTAAAATATGAAGACATAAATGAAAAGAAGCACGTACCTCAAGGCTAATCAAAACCATGTATTGATTGGGAAAATTGGAGTTCAGACAATAGTTTTATTATTACAGGCATCAAATATTCAGGAAGATATAGCAATTCCAAACTGTATATTTTATAAAAGAATTTCATAACACATGAACAAAAACTAATAGTAATAGAAGAAAAATTTTTAAAAATCAACATAGTATTTAGATATTCCAATCCACATCATGGCAAAATACCAACAAGGATATAGAAAATTTATTCAATACTATTAAACTTGATCTAACTGATGTTAATAGAATTTTCTACCCAAAAACAAAGTAGTACCTAATCTTCTCAAGAGCACATGGAACATGCACCAAAGTAGGCTGCAAAGAAAATCTCAATAAGCTTAACAAGATTATAGTCATACAAAGACTGTTCACTGACTAAAAGAGAATTAGATCAAAAATCAATAACAAATACATCTGAAAAATCCCAAATATTTGAAAGATAAATATACTTCTAAACAACTCATGGATCAAAAGATAAATCAAGAGGTAGTTGGTCAGAGATGTTAAGTGCCTGCTATGTTAACTGAGACAAGTTTTATGGATAATAACATACCTCAACATTTTAGCAAATTATAAATGTTAACTGTGGGTCTTATTGAATGTCTATTATATTTCAAGAACTCTGTTTTATTTTCCTCTATGCTGGACACTGGTGGCTTATGCCTATAATCCTAACTACTAAGGAGACTGAAATCTGAGGATCACAGTTCAAAGACAGTTCAGACAGGAAAGTATATGAGACTTATCTCTAATAAACCACCAAAAGGCTGGAATTGAGCTGTGGCTCAAGAGGCAGAAAACTAGCCTTGAGGAAAACAGCCTTAGCAAAAAAAGAGACAGCATCTAGGCTCTGAATTCAGCCCCAGGATTAGTACAAAATAAATCCTCTAAATCATTATTCTAATTTGAGGCAAATAATTTTTCCACTTTCATATTAATTTCACAAATAAAATTGCATAAAATTTGCATCAAGTATACCTCAGTAATTGGCCTAAGTAGATAGAGAAATAGAACTGTACTAAGAGATTATAGGCAAGATAATGGCAATAATCTAGAAAATTAAATTAACACACTGGTGTGTAAATAACAACAGATAAGAAAAATATTAATGCTATCAGGAAACCAGGCAGTTTCAATACCTTCAATGAACAAAAGAAGAAAAAAATCCTCCACACTAATTTCCCTGTCAAATATTGGTGCTGCATTGTAATTCTGACACATTCAATGAAGGAAGAAGAAGGAATTGGTATCTATTGTATGTGTCTGCAATTCTGTGCTATATTGCAAACATCTCATATATGCTTCCTAAGAACCCAATAAAGTAAGCTATATAATTTCCTCCAGCTCTGAACTTCAATGGTTGTTTTATCAATTGAGTCTAGGAAACTTTTCTGTCTGGGCTGGCTTGAACCACAATTTCCAGATCTCAGCCTCTTAATTAGCTAAGATTACAGGCAAAAGCCACCAGTGTCCAGCTCAGTCTCCTTTTGACCCTCTTATTGACAAGGAATCTGGGGGAATTCTGGACTCTCTAACTGATAAGACATTTTTCCTGAGGACACCTACTTGGAAGATCAACCACATGCCTCATTCCCCAAGAACCACTAAAACAGTAACTAGAAATAGAAAGGTGTCAAACCCCATAGTGAAACAAATCAGAAAAGGAAAGAAGAGCAGAAGAAACTAACAAAATAAGAAGGCAAATGGAAGAGGGGGTTAAGATACAGAAGAAAATCCAAAGGTCAGGCTAAGCTTAAAAAAGAATTCAAAAAGGGGACGATGGCCTCAGTAGATGAATGGATCAAGAAAATGTGATATATATATATATATATATATATATATATATGTACGTATATATATATGTACGTATATATATGTGTATATATATATATATATATATAATGGAATTCTATGCCTCCATCAGAAAGAATGGCATTGCCCCATTTGTTAGGAAATGAAAAGACTTGGAAAAAATTATATTAAGTGAAGTATTCCAGGCCCAAAGAACCATATGTCCCATGGTTTCCCTTATTTGCAATAACTAGTATATGTCTAGGACAAGCAGAAAAAGTCATAAAGCTATGTACAGATGACCATATAAGATGATGCTAAGAGAAATGAACCCCAAGATAGGGACATAGCAGGTTTATTTTTCTTTCTTGCTATTGTTTTTAATGTATTTATAATGTACTATGTGATTTTTTTTGCTTTTTTAGCATGTTCTTCCCCCACCCGTTTTCACTGTATTTGATTCCAGTGACTGCATCTTTTTTTTTCTTTTTTTCTTTTTTGGTGGTTATGGGGCTTGAACTCTGGGCCTAGGCGCTATCCCTCAGCTCTTCAGCTCAAGGCGAGCACAGCTCAAGCACTCAAGGCTTGAGCCACAGCACCACTTCCAGTCTTCCAGTGGTTTATTGGAGATAAGAGTCCCAAGGACTTAGCCAGGCACTGGTGGCTCACGCCTGTAATCCTAGCTACTCAGGAGGCTGAGAGCTGAGGATCACGATTCAAAGCCAGCCTGGGCAGGAATGTCCATGAAACTCTTATCTCCAATAAACCACCAGAAAGCCAGAAGTGGCTCTGTAGCTCAAGTGGTAGAGTGATGGCCTTGAGCTGAAGAGCTCAGGAACAAAACCCTGAGCCAGATTTCAAGACCTATGACTGACAAAAAAAAAAAAGTCTCACAGACTTTGCTGCCCGAGTTGGCTTTGAACTGTGATCCTCAGATCTCAGCCTCCTGAGTAGCTAGGATTACAGGCATGAGCCACCAGCGCCTGGCATAGATGAGGACACATGGAAAACAGATTTTTTTTTGGGGGGGGCGGAGGGGAGGTCAGTCATGGGCCTGAACTCTGGGCCTGGCTGCTGTCTGTCCCTCAGCTCTTCAGCTCAAGGCAACTGCTCTACCACTTGAGCCACAGCACCACATCCTGCTTTTCCTGCTTATGTGGTGCTGAGGAATTGAACCCAGGGCCTCATGCATGCAAGGCAAGCACTCTACCACTGAGCCACCTTCCCAGCCTCCTGCATCTTGTATATACATTTTTCTAATTTGGGGAGGGGAAAGGAAATAACAAAATGTTTAAATAAGGATACAGGTTGACAAATGTACAAGACACTATGTTGAAAATGAACTTTACAACTTGGGGAGGGCGGGGGGAGGGAGGGATGGCAGGGAAAAAACAAAGGAGGAGGTAACAATGCTCCATAGGAAATGTACTCATTACCTTACTCATGTAACTATAACCCCTCTGCACTATACTTTTACAATAAAAACATATAAAAATGGGAGACAATGAGTTTCTTTATAGAACCCCCACAAACCTCTTAAGTACAAGATGCAGAATTTAAAATAAGCAGATTTGTTAAGGTACAACTTTGAATAATAAAAATGCTAACAAATTTTCTTCATCACTACAGCCAGGCAACTCCTCCTTTATGTCATCAGAAGATTGATGGTTTGTGGGTTCAAGGAAATGGAATACATGGGTACCAAGGTTGACAATGTGGATTTTAAATATCAAGAATCATTTCATGTTCTCATAGTGATTAGTAAAATTTTCATCATTCTCTTTCGTTTTTTTGTCACAGTGCTGGCAGCCAAGTCCAATCCTTTCCTCCATTTAGAGAATTTCGCTCTTTAGGCTTCAAAATAACCAGCCTGCCTTACAGAAGAGATGCACATCTGTACCAATGGTTGAAGATCATCCCAGGGAAGAGTGGCTTGTCACCTAGTCACTGTCACCTGGTCACCTAAAGGGAAGTGCTATAGGTGACAGGCAAGCTCTTGCGATGTGAATATTTTAGTGTCTCATTCTCACATAGAAATCGACAGCCGATCAATTAAAAGAAAAGAAAAGAAAAGAAATCAACAGCCGAACTTTACAACTTTGGGGGGGGGTTGCGGGGAATATTGGGTCGGGGGGCAGGGGAAGGATGGGAAGGGATAGGAAGGGGAAACAAAGGAGGTGGCTACAATGCTTGATAAGAAATGTACTCATTATCTTGCCCATGTAATTGTAACGCCTCTGTACAGTATTTTCACAATAAAAAAAAAAAGAAATCGACAGCAAGAGGCTGAGACCTTAAAGAAACTTTCTTATGGAAGATAGATATCGTTCACAGACAAGAGAACTCAGCGGAATTAGAAAATATTGATTCAAACTCTAAAATAAAGGACTCACCTTCAGTCAAGAAAGTAGATATAAGAACAACGAACTATTTTAATGAATATCTATGAAACCAGGAAAAGTTTCCAGAAGTTAAAAATGTGCTAGTGCTTTAAATAAAATTAAGAAAAAAATGTCAGAAATTAGAAGAGAAAATATATGAAAAGATTATAAAATTAGGCAACTGTACCAAAGGAAAATAAAACTATTAAGACATTTTAGAAAGAGAAGAAACCATAAACAATTTGAAATGACCAAAGAAATAATACAAGAATGTCTTCCAAAATGTCTACTACCAACTAGAAAGAATATGCTGAATACATAACGACTTTTTTAAGTTCCTAAGTTCTAAAGTCTCAATAGTATTTCAGAACACTAGAGCTAAAAACAGAATCTTACAGTTTACCAATGAAAAGGGAAATGGAGAAAAATTACATTAAAAACCTTGAGATTTTTTTTCTTTTTTGGAGACAAGCTTTCCCTTAGTACTCCAGGCTGGCCCTGAACTAGTGTTCCTCCTGCCTCAATCAACCTCCTGAGTATTGGCATTACATACATGCATCACTATCCTCAGGTTGGAAATCTTTTTTTTTCAGGGCGGGGGGGGGGGCAGTCATGGAGCCTGAACTCTGGGCCTGGGTGCTATCCCTCAGCTCTTCAGCTCAAGGCTAGTGCTCTACCACTTGAGCCACAGTGCCATTTCCAGCTTTTTTCTTATTGCTTATGTGGTGCTGAGGAATCGAACCCAGGGCCTCATGCATGCAAGGCAAGCACTCTACCACTTAGCCACCTTCCCAGCCCCTGGAAATATTATCTAAGTCATTTTCCACAGTAATCCAAGAAGTGCCTACTAGCAAGAATACACAATTTAAAAAAAAAAAGCAAGACAAAGCAGAAAAAAATAAAAAATCAAGGTGTAGAAAGATCAACCAACCCAGAAAGATGCAGACAAATATCTTAAGATGAACAGAGTTTCCTATATCATAGAACAAATGCAAAGACCAACCTTGGGTTGTGTAGGTTTGATACTGAGAGACACAGAAGGAGACACTCTGGTGGTTTTTAAAAGCAGAAATTTGTAGCAGAAGGGAGAAACAAAAACTTTCGCACCACAGAAGAGAAACAAGAAACGTCCATTGTCAGCCCCAAACCACTCAAGGTGCAGGCATTCTAAGGAGATGCTGACAGTCCCACTGAGGGGAAACAATGTCAGGACCAATCAAAAGAGATTAGAAGAGACACCAGGTAGAAACAGAAATCATGCTACACCAGTGGGAGTTTTTATGAAGCTTTGAGTTCTGTTTCCTAGAACAACTCACAGAACTGAGGAAAACAGTTTCCTGACTAGGTTATTGACTTATTATAAAGGCTAAAACCGAAGAAGAGCCAGATAGAAGAGAGCAATGCACAGAGCATGGGATGGCAGGAAGGTTGGGGTGAAGAGCTTCGTGCATCAGCCTGAAAACTCTGTATGGATCCAGGGAGCTCTGAGGTTTTATGGGGGCTTTGTTATGTATGGTGGCTGATTAAAACATTTTTCTTTAGTGATTAACTCTCTCCTCTGGGAGAAGGTGATCAGTTGGGGTAAGGTGGGTAACACTTGAAACCCTTCAGTCACACAGTTGACTCCTCGACAACCAGCCCCATCTAGGAACTGCCAGTTGTCTTATTAGGATATGCAAGACATTCCACATCAAATATATATATTTGACAGCTTAACCAAACCAAAAGTTCCCTATAATATAAATGGTATAAATGGTATTACCTCACAATTAGACAATTCATGGGGAAATCTCTATTATCCCAAAGACTGGCACAGCTTCAAAAAAAAAACTTCCAGGTTCTACAGAAAAAGAAATTTCCATAGAACTCTACTAAGTCAGATCATTATTAGTCTGTATGTATAATTATTTTCATGTAAACCAGTATGATTTTTTGTGCCAATCCTGAGGCTTGAACTCAGGGCCTGGGCACTGTCCCTGAGATTCTTTTTCTCAAGGCCAGCACTCTATGACTTGAACTGCAGAGACACTTCTAGCTTTTTCTGAGTAGTTTATTGGAGATAAGAGTCTCACAGACTTGCCTTCCCCGGGCTGGCTTCAACCTTATGACCCTCAGATCTCAGGTAGCTAGGATTATAGGCATGAACCATCAACACCCAGCTCAGTATGGTTTTTTAATTGACATTAATTAATTGTACAGGAGCCTTCATTTTAACATTGCCTCTTATTCATAATGGCCCCTCTACATTGTCTCCTCCCTATTCTCATTTCCCAAACAAGCCTCATCATGTGGCTTTCATTTTTATATATGTATATAAAATATTGTGTTGACATTAGCTCCCTTCCTTTTCCTCATTAATCTGCCCTCTCACTAATATCTACACTCCTGATAAGAAATATTTCAGGGGCTGGGAAGGTGGCTCAGTGGTAGAGCGCTTGCCTTGCATGCCTGAGGCTCTGGGTTCAATTCCTCAGCACCACATAAGCAAAATGAAAAAAGCCGGAAGTGGTGCTGGGCTCAAGTGGTAGAGGGCTAGCCTTGAGCTGAAGAGCTGAGGGACAGTGCCCAGGCCCAGAGTTCAGGCCCCACGACCAGACCCAAAAAAAAAAAGAAATATTTCAACTTCCTACTATTCTTTCTTGTTAAAATTCATGTTTATTGTTCTAAAAGGGTTTCTTCCACTAGGATGATGTTCATAGTAAAATGAGTCACTCAGGGGCCATTCAAAGCAGGATTTCATGGGAGTCTTACTATAACTGATAGAGAAAAACTGAATAGAGTATCCATAACATCAAGTTGTACTTAGCAATTTTCAAATTTATGTTCCTTTTGTGAAGTATTTTATGACAGTCATCTTACTTCTCTGAGAAGTAGAAGCACTTTACATTGTCAGCACGTAAGATAGCAGACTTACCAGTTGTATTGTTCTGGAAACTTCCTTGCATATTCACATATCGGACTGCTTCACAAGTAATCCTGAGGAAACGTAGGAATGTTTGCCAGTAGGGTATTTGTTCCAGGTATATTTGGGCTTTTTCAAGTATGTGAAATACTCTGCAATCAGAAAGAATCCAGAAGAAATTAAACATACTAATGATTTTTCCAGATGACAGATTATTACAACCCATTTAAACATAAAATATGCATGGCAGTCCACATATGAATGACATTAGAATAGTGGAAATAGTTTACTCCATATATGATTTTTTTTTGTGAAGCCTGAACCCTGACTTAAAAAATGACTTAAAATGCCAGGCACTGGTGGCTCACACCTGCAATCCTAGCTACTCAGGAGGCTGAGATCTGAGGATCTCGGTTCAAAGCCAGCCCGGGCATAAAAGACCGTGAGACTCTTATCTCCAATAAACCACTCAAAAAACTGGAAGTGGCGCTATAGTTCAAGTCGCAGAGTGCTAGCCTTGAGCTGAAGAGCTGAGGGGCAGCGCTCAAGCCCAGAGTTCAAGCCCCATGACCCACAAAAAGAAAAAGAAAAAAAAAAGACTTAAAACCACTTTTGGCAATGCATATAGTATTGGAAAGAGTAAATCGAAGCCAGACACTGGTAACTCATGCCTGTAATCCTAGCTACTCAGGAGGGTGAAATCTGGAAATCATGGTTCAAAGCCAGAGTAGGCAGGAAAGTCTATAAGACTCTTATTTCCAACAAACAACCAAAAATTTCAGAAGTAGAACTATAGTTTAAGTTGGAGAGCATTAACCTTGAGCAAAAAACAAGCTTAGGAACAGCATCTAGGCCTAAGTTTAAGATCCAGGATGGCACCAAAAAAGAAAAAAAAAGAGGAAATCAGGAGTTAGGAAAGAAGATAATAAAGAGTATAATATAGAATTAATTTTGAGGCCAAGAAAAATATATTCTCTACTGTGTGTGTGTGTGTGTGTGTGTGTGTGTCTGTCTGTGTGTGTGTGTGTCTGTGTGTGTTACCATGAACTTCCTAACAGCCAAGGGAAGTGGAAAATGATCACATATATAATATGCATATGCTACAAAATAAAAACAAGGTAAAATTTCTGGAGAAATATGGTGTCAAAGAGATGGCCCAGCCTAGCACTAGAAATCCTAATTACTCAGGAAGCTGAAACTTAGAAAACTACAGGAGCCAGCAAGGACAAAAAAGTCTGTGAGGCTAGCAAAATGCTGGAATGGAGGCATAGCTTAAGTGATAAGAGTGTCAGCTATAGGCAAGAAAGCCAAGTAAGAACACAAGGCCCAGAGATCAAGCCTCTATACCAGCACACAAAAACAGAACTTATTACCAGCTACGTGAAAACTGAATATGTGAGATTAACAAGAATTTCAATCATTGGTAGCTTGGACTAAACTAAATTTTTGTGAAAGATTAAGCCAATAGTTAAGCTTAATGGAAGTGCTTAATATGTTATAGTTGTAGATGTTTTATAATAACATCAATAGGTTAATCCCTTTAAAGTAAATTAAGTGATTTTCTAATAGATATCCAATAAATTTATTAGAAACCAAATGTATTATGTGACCCATCTTTGAGTAGCACGGGTCAGTTGAAATCATGTTGATAACCAAGTGTTGAGCAGCTTTCCATCCCCCACATACTCACACTGTGGAGACAAGTTGATGCTCACAGCTACCCCAAGAAATACCGTCCACACTTGAGGCATCAGCACGTGGTGGTTGGAAGAGCCGAGAACAGGAAAGGCTCACTTCTGACAGCTGCATCTCAAGTTCCTTCCAGCCCAACCTCCCTTCAGATACTGTGGCTGAAGTATTTGTGTGCCCAGTAATGACTTCTTGCAGAATATGATCCTTAATTGAAAAAAGAAAATGTCCCTTATAAACCATTAAGCCATTCAAATATGGGTACTTGAGATCTAGCTTACCTAGTCTCACTTTCCAAGGGGTCCAAGTCCACTGTGTATCAGATATCCTGTAGGAAGATGGTCCTCTAAGGCATAGGTCTAGGTTTCAATTTTTTGTGTGCTGGTCCTGGGGCTCGAACTTGGGGCCTGAGTACTGTCCCCAAGCTTTTGTGCTGAAAGCTAGTACTCTATCACTTTGAGCCAGAGCTTCAATTCCAGGTTTCGGTAGCGAATTAGAGATTAGAGTCTCACAGACTTTCCTGTCTGGGCTGGCTTTGAACCATGATTCTCATTTGTCAGCCTCCTAAGTGGTGAGGATTACAGGTGTGAGCCACCAGCACCTGGGTAGATCTGAATTTTATCATGTTCCAAGTTACGCCTTCAAACTGAAAATTTACCCAATAACTAACTTATCTCACATTCCACTTAATGGTGTCTTTTATTGGTTGAGACCTTAGTGGCACAGCCATGTGAGTTACCTTGTCTCCCCCAAATAGTCCTAATGAACTAGACCTAAAACTTACCCTGTGGTAAACCCCTCTCAGAATGCATCCAGGCTGGTTGACTTGCACTTACTCATTAAACTCAGCAAAAGTGAACTTGTGCCAATTCTAGGCCTACCCTTTCTGAGCAGTGGTGACAGGCTTTACATGCTGCACTTCTTTCTCATTTCTGAGATTCCTGGATCTTCAGATAAGAAATCCAGCTACCTGGCTGAGGGACCATCTGGGGAGAAAAGAAACTCTGACACTAGATTAGAAAGGGGAGTTTCTGATCCCTAGGATTCCAGTTAAGCATCCAAGCAACAATCCCTCTGGCCAATCTTATGAACAGCACCTATAAGGCCATCAGAAGAACCACTTTGCTGACCCATGGACACTTAGAATCATAAGAGTCAAAAGAAGGTGTTTTGTTTTCCATCACTGAGCTCTGGGGTCTTTTGTTAGAACACATCCCCTAAGCACCATCAGAAAAGCCATCTCATATGTAAGTGACCTAGAAACCCCAAATGCCATGCAGGCTAGGAGTTGGGCTCTATAGATAAACAGAAATTGGGAAGGGTCTTTCTAACAGGAAAGAGCTTATATCCACCAGCAAAAGTAGATTTGCTTGCTTAGGTGACTTCAAGTACACTTTTGGGGGGGATCTGTCTAGCATCCTTTCCAGAATTATATTGCTTCTAAATTATATACTTTACTTAATGTTAATAAACTTCTTTGTGATAGAATTTCAAATGTTGCACTCTAATGCACTCATGTCTTTTGCCCTAATTAGTCAGGAGAACATCTACGTGTTTCCATTTCCTTTGACATGCATTGTCAGAGAAGATGCTACAAGTCCTTGACCTGACTGAACTATGCACACATTACTGTACCAATTTTCATTTTTCTATGACATCATTTACCTTTTATTAATTTCATTATTTTGTTTTATTTCATAGTTTTATGCAGAAAGTGTTCTTTTCTTTTTTTTTTTGTCAGTCATGGGGCTTGAACTCTGGGCCTAGATGCTGTCCCTCAGTTCTTCGGCTCAAGGCAAATGCTCTACCACTTGAGCCACAGTGCCACTTCCAGGTTTCTGGTGGTTTCTTGGAGATAAAAGTCTCATGGACTTTCCTGTCTGGGCTGGTTTTGAACCGCATTTCTCAGATCTCAGACTCCTGAGTAGCTAGGATTACAGGCATGAGCCACTGGTGCCCGGCTAGAAAATGTTTACTTTAAATAGGTAACTCTGAGAGAAAAAACATGATTATGATATTTACTTCTGGCTCTAAAAGAATGAAGGCTAGTCTAGAACATAATGTTCTTTCAGAACAGACAACTACTCATCACTCACATGTGAGCATTTGATAAATTCAGCCCAGTTCCTGGGTGGTAGGAAAAACATGCTTTTCATAGCCTATGATCAGTAGAAGCCATAGCTTTGCTACAAATTGACCAATCACCAAACCTATCACCCTATTTTTCCCCCAAATGCCACTAGAAACTGGAGCATGCTAGAGACCAGAAAACCAGAGAGGCAGAAGTAAGTGCTTTAAAATTTGGACTATGGCCGGGTGCTGGTGGCTCACACCTGTAATCCTAGCTACTCAGGAGGCTGAGATCTGAGAGTCAGAGTTCAAAGCCAAGCCTAGGCAAGAAAGTCCCTGAGACTCTTATCTCCAATTCACCACCAGAAAACCAGAAGTAGAGCTGTAGCTCAAAGTGGTAGAGTGCTAGACTTGGGCAAAGAGGCTCAGGGACAGTGCCCAGCTCTTGAGTTCAAGCCCCACAACCAACAAAAAAAAAAGGAAGTTTGTGGTATAATGAGTGTCAGGCAGGCAGGTCTTGGCCAGGTAGATGACAGATTCACTCCCAAGCAATTAGACCAAGGGATGAAATTAAAGGGCAGCCATGATTCCATTTGTCAGAGGCACAGACTCACGTGACCCCCTCCTGAGTATTCCTGTGCTGTACGAGGTTATGTGTGCTGGAAGGCGAGGAGAAAATTTCTCCATAGTGCTGGCAACAATCAGGGCACCTAGCCAGCTGCAGCTCCAGCGGGAAGGAGAAAAATCCTTCTGAGTCTGGGCAAAAGTTTGGACGCCCTGGCCATGACCTAGGGGAAGGCACCTGGTTGTGCTCTTCATGCCCCTTCCTAATGGTGCCATAAACACATAAAACATTGGTGCCTTGTATATCTCTTGTTACCTTTTGGCCTCATATATTTCTTGTAACCGTTTGGCCTTGCATATCTCCTTCTGTAACCTTCTGGCCACATGTATCTCCTGTAAACTTTTGGCCTTGGGAAACTGTGGCATGCTCACGGACTAAGATTTACTTTCTTTGAGTGTATGCCATACATAAGTAAGTGGAGCTACCCAATAAACTTTTGTCTATACCCGCATGCTGTGGTCCACTCTCTGCCTACCAGACACTGTGGTCCCACGTCTGGCTGAGGAATCAGCAATACCTCTTAACCACTTTCTTTGAACTATATAGGCTGATGTCAACACAATCTGTGTCAAAATTACAGTTTCAAGTGTTAGCATCTTCAGTGAATTTAACTTGAATCATGAGTGTAACTGGTACTCTTGGAAGAGATCTAAAGGTGGAATACTTACAGCATCTTCTACTGCAGCAAGCAACTTGTTTAAAACACTGGTCTCATTGACAGAATGGTGACAAAACAATCTCCAGAGGTCTCCCAAGATGCTAAAGTTCCCAGAAGTGAGGAGAGCTTCGGAGGAGGAGTGCACATTGAGGCAGGTAACAGTAGCATTCTTTGTCAGCAGCTAAAAGGTTAATGACAATGGAAAGGGGTAAGTAACATTTCAAGAGGCTTAGTTGTATGCATTCTAGAGCTACCTGTAGAACTAAATAATGGAAGTGTTACAATGGAAGCAAAGTTCTTTTAAAAAGCTAGCCTAATGTTCACTTTATTTTGCTAGCAAACTCATCATAAGCAACCTTGAATATTGGATGAGCTTCTTGAATGTTTTATGAAGATGGCTTAAGTATAATTCTCAGCTGTAGTTTACCTGCTTTAACTCGCCAAAGAACTCATCTTTTTTAAGTTTCCATCTGTCTGGTCCACTCTGTACAGAATCGTTTGCTGAAGTCTCCAGGGAAGTAAGGATTTCTGCAAGAACAATAATTTGACTCATTACTCATCGAAGTTAGGCTTCTTCTAAAACTTGACTTTGATGCATGGCATGAATCATTAACTTGAATTCTTAGGCATTTCAATAAACTTGTTATCATACATTTCCTTGTCTTTCTCAGAAAGCAAAATGGGGGAAGTCATGGTAGTACCATTTCTCCCTTTCTGAAGACTCTTTAGGAGGCGTTTTTAGTTGAGTTTTATTTCTAAAACAACCAATCTTATTTTTCTTCTCCTAAGAAGATGAAAAGACTATAGTCCACTTAGTCAAAAGGGCCAGGCATAGTGTCTCATGCTGGTAATCTTAGCTATTCAGGAGGCTGAGATCTGAGCATCTCAGTTCAAAGCTAGGCCACATAGAAAGTCATGAGAATCTCATCTCCAATAATCACCAAAAGACCAGAAGTGCAACTGTGGCGTAAGTGACAGATAAGTAGCCTTGAGCACAAAAGCTCCAGAACTGGCCAGTTCAAGCTCTAGAACTGGCCAAAAACACTTTTAAGGCATATCTGACTTCCACAGAGGAGGAAAGAATCAACACCCACCAGAGTCAATGTAAGTTCAGAGAAGAGCTTTCTGCATACCCAGGAGGAACCCGATTCTCTGCCTCAAGCCCTCTGAGGAGCAGAGGAACCAGAACTTAAGTGATTCATTTGGATCTTTTCAGCTTAGGAATCCTTGGTGCTATGTCTCCATGCATATGTTAAACCACATAACCCAGCCCAGACTGCAAATTCTGGTGAGGATACATCTGGAGGTGCCTTCACTGTCAGCAATGACACCAGAGTAAAGCATAAACTGTCACACAGCTCCAGCATGACTTAGCTCCAGATTTTGTAACACCGTCAGATTGTGGCAAGTCCATACACCAACAAATGTCACGCCAAATGGGTGACAAATGACAGCAGATCTGTATACCTTTGACAAAATGGAAATCCTGGGCCATGGCATTTCTGACAGCATCATCCAGCTGCTGAAGTCTCTGTACACGTGGCCACGGGGGCAGGTTGTGCAGTACAATCTGAAATATCTGTAGATGGTGAAATCTGAGGACAAACATGCATTAAGGAAAGGAAATGGAAAGTTGTTCAATGAGCCAGCTAGGGACATGAGCCCCCATGCAAAGGAAATACTCTACTTCTTCAGGCAGTGTGTTCATACAGTGAATGCCTCTCTTCACCTACTAACCAGGTACTTGACACATTACATTGTTTCAATCTGCTGACTAGAGGCTCTTTTGCATACTGGAGTAAGAAATTATTCCCCAAATAATATGTATGAGACCCAAGGTAAAATTTAAAGGGGGGCTGCCCCAGGGGAAGATGATTCTGTGTGTCGTAGAACCTAGATGGAGGTCTGAGAAGGGCATCAAGTGTTCCTATCTGTGAGTGGTGTGTGTATTCAAGGGTCAAACATTGCTGGAGTATTCAGAGATTTCCTGTTGTGTCTTTGGCTCACCAGCATCTGCACGCCCCCCTGACCCAGAGCATAATTGAAAAGCTTCCACGTCTCAAGTTACCTGATGAAAGCAACTTGAGCAAGAACAGATAAAATCTAAAGAAGGTGAAAAGGTTTGTAGAGACACCAAGTCCTTCAGAGTAAACAGGATGGCAATGCTTTCATTTGTTTTGGTTGAAATTATCCTTTGAAATATAAGAGAATGTGAGTAATTGACTACAGACACAGGGTGGGAAAGAAGGGTATGACTTCCTGGGCCAGAACATTGATTTAAAAAAAAGATTTCCTGCTAAGTATGAGTGAGAATCTTAAAAAAAAAAAAAACTTGGACACCAGTAACTGCTTGATTTAAATTGGAGAAAGGGAGTATCTAACAGAACTCATCCTTTGTATGAAAGGTTGTTCAAACATTGTTGTCACAATTATACAAAAGTAATGAGTAAACCAACTTTAGAATCTCTGAGACAGAGTGGCTCATACCTGAAGCCAGCTGAAGCAAGAAAGTCCATAAGACTCTTATCTCCATTAAACTACAGAAAGCCAGAAGTAGATCTGTGGCTCAAGTGATAGAGCACTAGCCTTGAGCACAAAAACTCAGAGACAGAGCCCAGGCCTAGAGTCCAAGCCCCATCAGTGGCAAAGATTAATTAATTTAAATAAACTTTGAAATCTGTGGACCACCCCAGATATGGTCACTCCAATACCCCTATAAAACAATATGACAGCAGGAGTGATCCTCACATTCATCCTAAGGTAAATTTGTTGTAGTTTTATTATTTTTAATTTTATAAATGAGTTCTAGTTTCCACATATGAAAGAGAACATGTATCCTTTGTCTTTCTGGGCCTGATTTATTTCATTTAACATCATTTTTTCCAGGACCATCTATTTCTTTGAAAATGATGTAATATCATTCTTCTTAATGGATAAATTTCCATTGTGTACATATACCACATTTTCTTGATTCATTTGTTCACTAAGGGGCATCTGGGCTGTTTCATATCTTGGCAATAGTTTTTAAATGAGAAAACAGGGAGTTCTTTACATGAAAGGAACTTAAAATGTGTGTACTCATTTTAGAACATGTGCTGGCACTTTCTCACATACTAGCAGTCTTCCCACTAGATTACATTTTCTATTTGAGATGAGATCATTCATGTTAGCCAGGCTGGTCTTGAACTCCATAGATCCAAGATATCCTCCCCGAGCTCCAGATATCCTCCCTGAGCTCCAGAGAACCTTCCAGGTAAGCCTCTCAAGTGCTGGGATTACAAGCAGGTGTCACCACGTCTTCAACATGACAGTCACATCCAGATTGCCCCAGAGGTCTACCCCAGTAACACTCTACAATATGGTGCTGGCTTTCTCATTTGCTAACTAGGAATACGTTGTCTAACTATAGTTTTGCAGAAATTGTTTATACCGTATCATGAATTCTTGAAAATTCAGTGTTGTCTAACATAGTCAACAACAGAAGGAGGGAGATGTGTCTTACAGGTGTGGAGACAGATGGCTGTCTTCGGGGTCGTTAGCTGCCAAGCTGTCACTCAGGAGAAGCAGTGCCGTGTGCAAGGCTCTGACCACCTTCTCTGGCTCACTCTCTTCTTCAAACTGGTCCAGGAGGTCCTCCAGACTGTGTCTGATGCCTGTGAGCATCTTCTGAAGCAGGTCACCCTGCAGCCACTGGTCAAACACCTGCATATTTAGCAATTAAAATGATACTACTAGTACCACTAGTATCTGAAATATTGTACTTTGTTTAAAAAAATAGTAACAGATCATTCTAGGTGATAAAAAAAATTTTAGTTATTTTGGCAAATTCAAATGTGTGCTAACAATTGCATGATGACTACTTCGAACTTGAAGAATACATTGGCAGCAATGGATAGATACAGCTTCTTAATGAATCCCACAGTTCTTTCTTTCCAGTTCTCAAAAAAGAAAAAAGAGGGAGAAGACAACAGCATAATGAAAAGTAATGTAAGTTGAAAAGTAATATGTTTAAGATACCTTAAATGTAGTAATATACCTTAAAATACATGATATCCTTAGTATATAATGACTGGATACAACTTTCTGATAGGGCTTCAAGAAGATAATTAGATCCTGAAGACAATTAGAATTGATGTTCAGCATCCTCATTATATCAAAATAGATCTCTTGTGTCCAACTGAATAGTGAGAAAACATGAATGATGCACATCATATGTGCAATTGTGTATTTAAGTCACTCAGAGAATGCACAAAGCATTTGCCTGCTCTGATGCTGATCATTTCAATTCAGTTCTTAGATCATGTTAGTGCTAGATAACCTCTAGCAAGTGAAAACCATACCTATGTTTATTAATCATTAAAGATTTTTAACGCCCATTAGTGCATATATGAGGGGAGATAAAAAGCTTTAGAAAAGTTCATTCTTTGAAGGGAAACATGAAAAAAAGGAATGCAATGCCTGACAAAGAGAATGGGAGAAGGCTGTATGGGAGGGTTCTGTGTAGTCTCTGTGCTGGCAAAGACCACTGAGGGCATCCATAGTCATCAGCTATCCAAAGACCAGGGTACCTTGTGGCACATCAGCATTTCTGACACAAGCCAGAGCTTCCTACCTCACTGTTTGCCTTTGAGCCCCGATCACTGTTTTTGCACAGCCATTCCAGACAAAATATGAAATAAAGCACAAGGCAATTTGAATGTTTGTACACAAACATCCATGGAGCTTTTCGAAGTAGCCCTGGAATAGTATCATGTGCAAATATAACCGCATGAGTCCAGGGATCTCAGCTGTCTGTCTGCCTAGAATGGACTTTTCGGTGATTTTACTAAGGGCCTGCTGATCTGCCTGTAAACATACATAAGAGAAAGCAGCCAGGCACCGGTGGCTCACGCCTGTAATCCTAGTTACTCAGGAGGCTGAGATCTGAGGATCGAGGTTCAAAGCCAGCCCAGATAAGAAAGTCCGTGAAATTCGTATCTTCAATAAACCACTAGAAAACCAGAAGTGGTGCCGTGGCTCAAGTGGTAGAGCGCTTACCTTGAGCTGTAGAGCGCAAGGACAGCACCCAAGCCCAGAGTTCAAGCTCATAACTGACAAAGAGAGAGAGAGAGAGAGAGAGAGAGAGAGAGAGAGAGAGAGAGAAAGCACACAAAACAGCAGGGATATGGGGTCTCAAAGGCTTTCCACAGATGGCCAATGACAAGGAGGGGAAAGAAACTGATCAGAACATTGCAGACAGGCAGGCTCTAGGATTGAGCATCCACACAGAAGACAGCACCTCTTTGTAGAGTTGCAACCAGCTGATTGCATGGATGAGATAGTTTTTAGCTTCTGACCACTCAGGCTGACAATCTCCACCATGACCCTTGGTCTCAGCTTCATCCTCAGAAGTGCTGGACAAGGCTGAGCACACCATTCTCTCTAAGAAACCATCGGTTGGAATCTGGCAACAACATGGAGGAAAAAGGTTAGAAGTCATTTTTTCTAGAATGTTCCACTTCTAAAAACAACACCATAATCTTGCTGAAGTAAAAGCTCTTCTATTTGCCTGATTGAAGGAGTGGCAGGTGATAAAGTTCCTCTTATAATGTCTCTGTCACTTACCCTGGGGGGGGGGGAATTTCTGTAGTTAAGAGAGAAAATTGATTTCTATGTCTCAAGTTTGGGCACAGCTGTTTCTCCGGGAGGAAGACATGGAGAAGATGCAAGCGTTGTCCATGTTCGCTCTCCCTTGCAATGCAATTATGGGACAATCAGCTTCATTGATACTTTGGTTGGACAAAGGTGCTATGCAAAGAACATTCTCTTTTCTAATTACCATCTGTTATTTAGCCTAAAATGGTGTCTGCCTCCTGTTTCTTTGCAAAATCCAGTGCCCAACTACAAAATTTAACCTAGTTTTTCTCCTGTTTTTCTGTGTTTTCTTAGATTAAATTGTAGGTCTAGCCACTGATCCCAGAAGATTGTAGTGAAAATTACCTTTATTTCATAAAAGAATCTCTGGTTAAACCTCCCAAAGGAATTCAGACTGGCAGTCACCTTAGTTTTAGCCCAGGAAGACTCATTTCAGATTTACAATTCCTGGAACTATATAATAGTCAACTTAGGTTCACTCGTCCCCTACATTGATGGTAGTTTGTTACAGCAGCAATAGGCAACTCATACATATAATTTACAATATCCATGAAGCTTCCTGGACAACATGATTCTGGTCTTCCATGGACACATAATGTGGTTTCTCCCATTTTCCTTTTAATACTAATCTCAAAATATTTACCATCCTAAGATAAAAGTCTTATATAGTCTAACTATATTTTAAAATTTGGGCCACAGAAAGGAGAGAATTAGAGTCAAAGTCAGTGAACCAGGGTTTCATAACTCATCTACAACACTCATAAATCATATTATCTCATGTCTCCTCTTCTTCCTCCTCCTCCTCTTCTCCTCCTCCTCTTCTTCCTCCTCTTCTTCCTCCTCATCCTCCTTCTTCTTCAGCACCAATGCCATCCTGGGAACCCCATTGTCATGACTTCATCTAGTCATAATTATCTCCCAAAGGCACTACCTTCCAATATTATTAACATAAGAATTCATACTCATAGCAAGTGTTACCAGTGGAGGGTTTACGCAAGGTCTTGAGAATACATAGAAAAGTGAGGAAAGGATGTTCTAGTATGTATTAAGAGCCCCCAAGAGGAGATTCTGGGTCTCTTCTAAACATTTATACTTTCATCTTGATAGAGGAACTGTACAAGAAAACCCCTCAACATGAAGGCAGGATGAATCACAGCTGCAGGTGGCGCTCTTGTTCCCAGGCCTGAAAAGCAGTAGAATCTCCAAATGGGCTGCAGCCAGAGAAGATGGCTCATCAGGTGAAAGACTCCAAAAGTCTTAGCAACATCAGTGTGACCTTCATCGCAGGGGACAGCGAATCTAATCCTGTTTGGGGAAGTGCTGCTCAACTTTGGCTACCCCAGCTGGACTTTTTGACCTGTACCTCCTACTTCCTGTACCACGCCTGTCTCTTAGCCTGGAATCTCACACCATCCCTGACTTCCTCCCATTGGCTCCCAGTGGTTCAAGTGTCATAGCATGTTATTTCTTAACTGTCTTTGTATACTGGGGTAAAATGACAAGCAAGAAAAGGACCTTCCTAAAATATTATATTAAGTGAAATAAGCCAGGCCCAGAGAAACATAGGTCCCATGGTTTCCCTTATTTGCAATAACTAGTATGTGTTTGAGACAAGCAGAAAAAGTCAGATTAAGTTGATGTTAGATGAAATGAACCCCAAGATAAGGACTCAAATGTTTTTGCTTTTATGTGATTGTTTCTAACATACTTATAAGATGATTTCTATGTTGCTTTGTATGTCCCTCCTCCACAGTATAACCCCTGCTTTCACTGTATTTTGATGTTGGTATAATTTGTAGAGAGGAAGGGAAAAAACAAATCATTTAAATGGGGATACAGGTGGACCAACTGCAACAATGAGATGTACAAGTCGATATGTAGAAAAATGAACTTTACAGCTTTGGCGGGGGGGGGGGGGAAGTAGGGGAAGAGGAAGAGGGGGAGGGGGAGATGGGAAGGGATGGGAAGATGAAAGAAAGGGGGAGGCAACAATGCTTGATAAGAAATGTACTCATTATCTTGCCCATGTAATTGTAACTCCTCTGTACAATTAAAAAAAGAAACTCTTTGGAATAGTCAAACTATCATGTAAAATTGTGCAAGCAATGGAATCCCTGACTATACTTTTCTAATCTCAAAATGGAGATAGTATTATTATCTATTCCTGTCCATTATTGTATAGATTTTAAGAGTCCATACTACTTAGGATGATGAGTTTACCTACTATTAGAAATAAAAATATTAAATAAAAGTGAAGCAAGCGTTGCTTATAAAATATTCTGCTTTAAAACATTTGTAACTGTGAGAGAAAAATAAAAAGATTATGTGACAAAGACCAAAAGAAAGAAAGAAAGAAAAGGACCTTCCTAGAAAAGCCAGAGATACAAGGAGTCTGCTGTTTCTAAGACTCAGATTTTAGTAGAAGCCACCAATCTGGCTTCCATCTCCCACTGTCACCTCCCACCTAGTCCCAGTCCCTCCGTTCCCGTGGAGCAGTGTTTCTAGGATCCTTCAATGGTATCAAAACTCCCAGGTACTCAAATATCCTAGACTAAAAAGCATAGTATTTCCATATGGCATACAGACATTCTCCTACATCAAATTATCTCTCCATATTAACATTATATAAATACTTTGTGAATTGTTGCTATGCTATAGTGATTGGGCTTTAAGGACATGGGCAAAGTCTGTACATGTTCATTGCAGATGTGATTTGTTTTTACTAATGTTTTTTTCTCTTCAGTTGGTTGACCCGAGTATGAAATGCAGAGATTCACAGGTCTGACTATCTACGGTCATTCTCAAGGTGAGATACAAAAGTATGAGAAACAGGCTCACAGGCATACCTCCTTTAGCTCAGATGAATAATTCAGGATGTGTTCCATTTGAAAATCATCAAAACCAAATCGGGATTTGAGATCAGATTGGACTTTCTCTGGATCCCAGACGATATTCTGCAGGGAGAGGTGGTAAGCTGACTCTGAAACAACCAATCATTTAGAGCGTAGTTATTTTAATATCTATCTAAATTAATTCAGAAAATAATGTCATTTTTACTTCTAATGGGAAAGCAAATGAAAAACAAATACTGCATTAAACAGGAACAATGAAGAAAAGCGATCACAGTGTTTACCCACTGACCTTGGGGATACCTTCCAAGACTACTGGTGAACACTAAAACCATGTATAACACCTAACTCTCTGTACACTGTGATTTTTTCCCTACACATGCATACCTGTGGTCAAGCTTATTTTATAAGGGAACATAAACTACTACTAATAAAGCAGGACCATGATACAATCTGCTATAAAATTACTCAGCATCACTACCCTTGTATCTTGGAATCATCAAAAAGAAACACAGGAGTTACTTAAACCTAGTACTAGAATACCACAAAGTTAGTCTGATAAGCAAGAGTACTATTAGCTTCTTGCTAATGTCAGGCTGACCATATAGTTTGGATATACTAGATAAAAGAATAATTTTTTTCTCAGGGCAAAGTAGAACAGAGAAATGTGAGACTTCCTCTTATTAGTTGGACAGTCATACAATTAGAAATTGACTGATAGTTTATTTCTGAAATGATCATTGTAATATTTTTTGGATTGTAGATGATGATGACTAACTGAAACTACCAAAAAAATCAAAGCCATACTGATGACTGTCCTGGATTCTACAGAGTTTGGTGAGATGTCATGGGCCTCTTAGTATATATGTTACAAACTTTCTGAAGGGTAGTTTGCAAGTAATTACAACCATTTTATAAAATTTAAATCAACAAACTCAGTTTTACTTTAGTAAACCTATCTCAAGAAACATGGATAACTGAATAAAAATTGAACCTACAACCACATGATTGCATTTGTTTTGTACTGTTTAAATATTGAAAACAAGTTAATCATCAGGGAAAAGGATACATTACAGTGATTTCATAATATAGAATGCTGTACAGACTTTACAAACATATTTCTAAAGATTACATAAAGACAGATAAATTCTTTCAACTGATATCATCAAGGCATGAACACAAAAACTACTCACATTACTACCTAGAGGTAGTACACCTGAAATACAAGTCTCATACTTCCAAGATTTGTCTTAATCTCCAAGAAGCATAGCAATTGCAAACATTGAAAGTATGAAATACAAAACAAACCTTTCTCTGAAAACCTAGCAACCAGATAATTTTAGATTGTGATTCTACAGCCATCCACTGATCACCTACCTGTGCCAACTACTCTTACAGTTTCTAAATTAATGCTGTGAACATTACAGAAAAACATAATCAGAGAATTTGCCATGCAGAAAAGGATGAGGCCAAGGGGACTTCAGGACAGTATTTAAGATGGCCCAGAATCCAAAAACCCAGGACTCCTGGCTTTAGTTTAGTTGTATGTGCATAGGGAAATTACTGGTTTCTGCTATTAAAATTAGCATTATTGTATGCTCAAGAGGTATCAAGTGCTAAGGTAAGCATTTGCCACACAGCCACCAGCAGCGCCACCAGCAGCACCACCAGGGAGATCCTAAAATTACCCTATTTGAAAAAAGAAGCCGTTAGACATACTAGAAGTGACACTTTTAGCAACACTTTATACTAAGGTGATTTGGTTCCCAAGCCTGAACTATTAATATTACTCCTCGAAATTAACTAACTTCAGACACTTAGACTACTCTAGAATTATTTAGAGTTCCAAAAAAGAATCCGAAAATAAATGGGAATATCAGCCTACAAGTAATTATGAAAACAATACAAAATCAATCCTTAGAAGAGAACATTGACTCTGAAATTCAGGGTCAGATAACAAAGTGTTCAGAATACAAAAATGAGCAATTTCAATAAATGATATGAGTGAAGTTGTCCAAAGCCACAGGGGCAAACCACCCGTTTCCCATTCAGGCATGGAAATCTGCTTAAGAGGCAAAAGCATCTTTGTGGAATCAAAAGAATTAAAGACTTTCTGTTTGTTTGTAGGTCATCAAGCTTGAACTCAAGGCCTAGGTACTGCCCCCTGAGCCTTTCCACTCAAGGCTAGCACTCTATCACTTTGAGCCACAGCATCACTTCTGGTTTTCTGGTGGATAATTGGAGATATATAAGAATCTGCCTAGGCTGACTTTGAACCTTGATCCTCAGATCTTCCTGAGTAGCTAGGATTTAGGCATGAGCCACCAGCACTGGGAAATAAAGATAAATTTTAGCAGTGGCTGTAGAGTAAATGGGCAGAAAATTGGTTTCTTTTCATTATATTCTTAATAGTATGTTTTCACCTGTAAGGTAAACTGATAGTTCTTTTTCTTTTTTTTTCCCTCCTTATATGGGTGCTGAGCTTTGAACTCAGGGACCTGGGTGCTGTCCCTGCTCAAGGCTAGCATTCTACCACTTTGAGCCACACCTCCATTTCTGGCTTTTTGGTAGTTAATTGGAGATTAATATGTCATGGACTTTTCTCCCAAGGCTGGCTTTGAACTGAAATCCTTAAGCTTTCCACCTCCTGAGTAGCTAGGATTGCAGGCATAAACCACCAGCACCAGCAAAGTTTATTGTTCATATTCGGATAATGTACAAAAACTCAAACTTCCAAATGAGTATTAAAATTGTCAACGAAGCATTATATGTCTCCCACCCTACCTCTGAGTTTTTCCTGAGCATAAGAAACAGTGGGAGTATAGCTCAGCAATACAGAACCTATGTAGCAGGCAAGACAGCCTGAGTTCAAACCCCAGTACCACAAAAAAGATGTTATTTTCTACTAGTAATGACTGCAGAACTCTGCTAGAAAGTTGGAATTCCAGATTTCCATTCAACTTCTATGTTTTATTTAAAGAAACAATTCTTTTCCACTCAGATGCTTTAATCCAATCATTTTGTTGAACATCATCTGAACTGCACATGGATTATCACACACACTTTCAAGTGGTAAACCATTTTGCCACACAGCCATAGCCCTTAGAGGCCCAGCGTACCATTCACTACCGCTCCATTTTGCTGCAGAAATGTCAGCGTCGAGATGGTCACGTTGAGCACAATCTTGGAAACCTGGGAGAAAGTCTGGTGGTATTGTAGCCAATCTAAATCTCCCAGAGATGTTAAGGAACTGGAACCAAAACAAACCAAGGCAGTGTGAGTTACTAGTCTACCAAACAAGCAGCAGCAATTCCAAATGTACTTCCATCAGGCATTGGGACCCAGCCCTGTTGTAAGACATGGTTGGACCATGTCTTACATGTTAAAAGCCTCTTGGCTTTTATGTGACCCTAACTCATGGACAAAGACTAAGCAGGAGAGGAGAGGTTCCCCCCTTCAAACACTTGAAGAACTGTCCTTTACATAGACCTAGAGTTTGAGATAACCCTACTACAGAAGTTCTTTAACGCTCAATCCTTGGATCTTCCTGCCTACCTAGAGCTGCCAGTAAGGGTAGCCAGTGCACGAAAACCAATCTCAGAGCAAATGCAAAGCCAGCATGGCTGTTCCAGGTTTAAACAACCAGTCTAATACTTGGACAGCAGCCTTCAAGGATGATATAGACACCAACCTTCTGTTCTGTCTTATCCCATGGATTTGAGCCCATTAGGGATTAATCTCTGTTCTTAAACTTGGTGTGTGTGTGTGTGTGTGTGTGTGTGTGTGTGTACGCGCACGCACGCACGTACGCTCGCGTGTGTGAGCCAGTACAGGAGCTTGACCTCAGAGCCTCACACTCTGTTTTGTTTTGTTCACTTATGGCTGGTGCTCTACTATTTGAGCAATGCCTTCACTTCTGGCTTATTGCTGGTTAGAGATAAGCTTTTCACGAACTTTTCTGCTAAGGCTGGCTTCAAACTAGGATTTTCAGATGTCAGTCTCCTGAGTAGCTAGAACTACAGGGATAAGTCACCAGCACCAGGCTTATTCTTAAACTTTTTCACAGAATAGGGGCCTTTAGGCATTGGGAGCAAATATATATAAGGCATTTGTTTATTAAGTATCAACATATTATTTTATTAATATTTAAACTTATAGGTCAGAAAAGATATTCAACTTAAGTAGGGTGTTGACACAATATAACTTAATTTGGAAATGGTGCTTATTTTTAAAAACGGAAAATGCTTCAGAAATGGGGTTCTCTAAAAGGTATCCCAAACAACATGGTGTCAGGTCTTTATGATATCTTCGATAACTGTGGAATAATTTATTAACTTAGATGATTTTGTTGGTTATTATTTTGGTGTCATTTTCTTTCTTTCTTTCTTTCTTTCTTTCTTTCTTTCTTTCTTTCTTTCTTTCTTTCTTTCTTTCTTTCTTTCTTTTTTTTTGGCCCGGTCATGGGGCCTGAACTCTGGGTCTGGGCACTGTCCCTCAGCTCTACCACTTGAGCCACAGCGCCACTTCCGGTTTTTTCTTTTTTGCTTATGTGGTGCTGAGGAATCGAACCCAGGGCCTCATGCATGCAAGGCAAGCGCTCTACCACTGAGCCACCTTCCCAGCCCTGGTGTCATTTTCTAATTGCAAAAAGAGAGAGAGAGAAAGAAACCTTGGAAACAACCAAAGGTCAAATGTTATAATTAATCAGTAAAATGCACCAAAACAGAATATTATATAACCATTAAAAATGATCTTTTGAAGACTGCAGTAACCCCAGCAATGTGAGCATGATAAAGTATATTTTCATAAATCATGGAGGATATGTTCTGAACAAAAGCACTGCTCCAACACAAGGTATGTGCAAAGACAAGAAAAGGCACAGAGCTGAGGTGCAATTGGTCAGGGTGTTTTAGGGCAACACTACTGTGAGTGTTTTCATTCTGTCAAACAAGCACTCTATGTTATGTATTTTCCTCTTTACAAAGTGAAAAGAAGCTGGCAGTTCATAACAATGCCTGTAATCCCACTACTTAGGAGGCTGAGATCTGAGATAAAGCCAGCCTAGGCAGAAAAGTCTATGAGACTCTTATCTTTAATTAACTAGCAAAAAGCCAGAAGTGAAGATGTAGTTCAAGTGGTAGAGTGCCAACACTGAGTGAAAAAGCCAAGTTTGAATGTGACAAACTCAGTTCAAGCCTCAGTACTGGCACCAAAAAATAAAAAAGTGAAAAGGAAAAACATTTACAATTTTCTTTTTCACTTACTTGGAAACTGCCTGGAGAAAGTGTACCACCGCTTGGATACCATCTTCCATGTGCATATTGGTCACATGGAATTTGGGCAGAGATAGTAGAAAATTCCAGATATGAGGTTGCTGGTGGAGGATTTCCAGTTTTGATATCACTTCCTCAGTTTTATTGAGATCCATCTGATAGAAAAAAAAATAAATTCCCAAAGTTTTCCTCTTTAGATGTATTAACCAGGGTGGGAAAGGAGAGAGAGAGAGATGAAAAGAAAGATAAAGCTGTGAAAATGTAAAACAGTGGACATCTGCTAGAAGCAACTCATGCCTAACATGTCACTATGTTGAACATAAAAGATCTGAGTATTCGTCTGTTAGTCTGCTTTTATTGCAATGTGTTAGAATTATTTTCATCGTTGTAAATCAAGTAAAAATAAAACAGTAGAAAAGGCTACAATTTTGAATAACCATGTACTCTGAAAAGGTAAAGAGAATGGAAGAAGGAAGGGGAAAAGATAGAAGAAAGCAAGAAAGAAAAAGAAGAAATGAAAGAGGAAGGAAAGAGGGAGGGAAGAAGGGAAGAAAGGCTCAAAGAAGGTGATAGGAGGGAATTGAGGAAGGAAGAAAGACTTTGAGTCCCAGACATCGTGAATTGGGAAAGGGCCTCACATTTATACTCAGCCAGGCCTGACTATCATCCTCCTAATTACATTCCGCACAACTGAGATACTAACTTCTGTTGAGATAGATTCTTGCGAATTAGTTTCCTGCTTAAACTTTTGATTCTCCACAACTCTGACTCTCAAGAAGCTGGGATTATGGGCATAAACTGCTGTTCCTGGCTGCCTTTTGGTTTAATTGGTATATATTAAATTGCATACAAGGGCCAAGATTGTAGCTCACAGGACAGAGCATCTGCCTAGCAAACATGGATTCTTGAGTTCCATCCTCAATACTACTAAAAAAAGAAAAAAATACAAATAAATAAATAAGTTTCACACAGTGAGGGGTTTCAAATAATACCTCCATGAATATATATATATATCTGATGTACTTTGATCTTATTTATCCCCCTCTTTGTAGCTCCCCTTCTTCACTGCCAGCCTTTTCATACAGTAGTTTCCTCTTCAGTTTGTCTTATTCTTCTTAATATAAGAAGCAAGGAGAATGCTAGGCACCTGTGGTCCACACCTATCATCCTAACTATGCAGGAGACTGAGATCTGAGGATCGTGGTTCAAGCCAGTCCAGGAAGGAAAGTCTATGAGACTCATATTTCCAATTAACCATCAAAAAAGGCAAAAGTGGATCTTCAAGTCAAGTGGTAGAGTGCCAGCCTTGATCAGAAAGCTAAAGGAAAGCCCCCAGGCCCTGAGTTCAAGCCATAGAACTGGTATGCCTAACACATAGAAAGCAAGAAGAAAGCAGAAGGTAGTTTGGGGAATTTAACAGCTAAATTTTCTACTCAATTGTTTATAAATACTGTATTTTACCCAACAAAGGTTTCTGCCTCTGGATCAAGACCCACTCCCGACCTCCACCCCCGATTTGCAATATTGAATTGCTTCTGACACCTTTGATGGCTACATACCCATCAGCCTTTGTTCCTCATGGTATATATTCCCTAAAGTGACACATGCTAGATCTACTATGGCCTTTATTCCTTCTGAGTAGTCATTCAGAGTAGTTATCAATATCTGTATTTCTAAACACACATCCTGATAGTCTAGGCTGCTTCTACCATTGGCCACTGAATTATGGCAGTCTCTGTGCATCAATCAACCCTTAATCAAATCCTGCATTTGTAGACCTAGCTGGCCTTCTCTATTTTGTGGATTACATATTCATGGGCTTTATCAACCACAGATCAGAAATGTGGTTAGGACCATATGGTTGTATCTGTGCTGAAGATGCAGACTTTTATTGTCTTTTTTCTTATGTAAATACATAGCAAAAATAGTTCATGTCTATTATGAACTGTTATCCTTTTACCAAAATGGCTATTTTATTCTAAATGAAAAATCAAACAATATAACCCCATTATCAAGATTCTTCAACAGGAAAATTATCTAGAAATGTAGTTTAGTAAATACAACTGCTTTCTTATGGTCTATGTTATATGTGTTCTCAATGTTTGGAGGATGTAATCATACAAGATGAGATGATATGTTTTCTGCTTGTTATACTTGTCAGAGAATAATAATTTTCCATGTACCATATTAATTAGTAAGTGGTTCTACAAGATTCCCTTTGGGATCCTACTTTTGGTATATACTTACCCCATGTACTTACTCTACTTTTAGAAATTAAAATTATCCACAATTATCAATAGCTTCATGCATATAGCAGTTTTGGCATTAAAAATACGATAAATTATCAGAAAAATACCAATATCAAGTTGCTTTTCCAAGAGCTAGTGAATCCATTTTTATTACTATAAGCCAAATATGATTCTATCAATGGGCTACATTAGCACAAAAATTAGATAGAAAAATTTCCCTTGAATATTTGTCCTATTTTAAGTTGTTCAGTTGTGTGTGTATGTGTGTGTACACGCACACATGCGTGTACACACCTGCCAATCCTGGGCTTGAATTTAGGGATTGAAGTATTGTCCCTGAGCTTTTGTGCTTAACGCTAGCACTCTACCACTTGAGCCACAACTCCTCTCATCAGTGGTTAATCAGAGATAAGATTTTCATGGGGGCTGGGAAGGTGGCTCAGTGGTAGAGCACTTGCCTTGCATGCATGAGGCCCTGGGTTCAATTCCTCAGCACCACATAAGAAAAAAGAAAAAAGCCGGAAGTGGCGCTCTGGCTCAAGTGGTAGAGTGCTAGCCTTGAGCTGAAGAGCTAAGGGACAGCATCTAGGCCCAGAGTTCAGGCCCCACAACTGGACCAAAATAAAAAAAAAAAAAAGAGAGAGAGTTTCATGGACTTTTCTACCTAGGCTGGCTTCAAGTTTCAATCCTCAGATCTTAGCCTCTTAAGTAGCTAGGATTACAGCATGAGCCACTGGTATCCAGCTGTTCCATTATTTTTAAGACTCTGAATTTTCATTATTTACTCATTCATTTATTCATCCATTCATCTAGTGGTATTGGCGATTGGGTTCAAGTCCTGGAACTTGCTCTTGCCTTGCTTTATCATTTGAGCCATGCCCTTAGTCCATCATGATTCATGACATTTTCCTTTGCCCCAGTATGCCAGAAAGCCAGGGGCCGTGGAGGGGGCGGGGAATAAATGCCCAATAGTAGTCATTTTGGTGACTTTGCTTTGCTAGTGCAATTATTTAACAGATAGAGGAATATTCCTGCATCATTTCTTGGTCTCTGCAGTTTTACTTGTCTTCTAATGTTTTTATTCAATATTCTTTTATCTTAAGTTATCAAATCCTTCTTCTAATTAGGCAGGTTCAGTTTTGTTTGCCCCTGTTAGCACATTATTGAACATACCTGGATTGTCCACGTCTGGAAGGGTAAAACAAGCAGGGAAGAATTTCTACTGTTATCAGGATTTTTCCCCACTTAACTCGGGGTTTCTCTGTCCTAGTACTGCTGATATGCTGTCAGCTTAGTCTTTGTTATAAGGCTGTTCTGTGCTTTGTAGGACATTATACAGCATCTCTGACCAATTCCCACTAGAGGCCAAAAATACCTCTACTGGCAACCAGTTATGATAACAAAAACATGTGTGCAAACATTGACAGATAACCCCAGAGAGAAATCACCACCACTGATAACTAATGCTTTTGTTATCATTACCTTCAATGATAGAAGGCCTAGTGCTTAAACCAAGTCAAAACAAAAACAACTATATACCAAACACCCAAGTATCAGCCTAACTTGAGTTCTGATTAGCTCAAATCCATTTTATCACAAAGCCATATTGCTTATTTCCCACCATCTTCAGACTTCAACGCTCACCCTCTGCTTTTCCCAGACCCTATATCTTGTTTCTATATTATTTGTTTGTTTGTTTTATGGTACTTGAGCTTAAACTGGTAACCTTGCATATGTTAGAGAGGTACTCTACAATAGAGCTATATCCTGAGTCTGTTTGTACTATAAATTAAGACTAGTCTTTCAGTTAATTGAAAGAGTTAATTGGCTCTGTCAAATCCATCTTCACATAAAAAGACAAATTTGAAAATATATAAAAAGAAGTATTTGAAAATATAAGCAAAAATTTAAAACAGTGCTGTGAACTTAAGGTAATTTGTTCACTGGAGATCAAATTTCAGACTTTATTAAGATACTTACTGTCAAACCAGATGTCTATGGCTCATACTTGTAATCTTAGCTACTCCAGGAGGAAGATCTGAGGATCACAGTTAGGAGCCAGCCCAGGCAGGAGAGTCTGTGAGACTCTCATCTTCAATTAACTACCAAAAAGCCAGAAGTGGAGTTGTGGCTCAAGTGGTAGAGTGCCAGGATTGAGGAAAAAAGCTTAGAGATAGCACCCAGGCCCTGAGGTCAAGTCCCAGTACTGGCAAGAAAAAGATACTTACTGTTAAAAAACTGGTACCATGAGAAGAATCTACAATAAAACAGAGTTAAAAGATCATTTTAATCATCGACACAAAAACTTGTACTACATGACTACTCCTGTTTTCAGTTGAGTATTTCCTACCTTCAGTCCAAACTATGAAGACATTTAAATAAATACATCAGAAGAAACACTTCACTGTTGATTTCCAAAATTAAGTAACTTCTTGAAAAAGAATCTAAATCTGGGAATCCAAATTTCTGTGATTTTTCCCGAGAACATTGTATTATTTTATCAATATCTAATACCTTATAAGCATTCAGGAGAGGATAGAGAGAGTGAAAGAAAAATAAAGGTAAAGGAAAAAAAAGTTTGAAGAGGGAAAGTAATTGTGATTTTTTCCCTAATTTTCATTACATATATGTGTATGCATATATATACATAAGTGGAGATATAATCTCACAAAAATTAATCTGTCTAAAAGCATGTGAAAGACTTTATTTGAAAACAATTCAGCAAATGACCACAAAGAAGGCCACACTAAAGCTACCAGCACAATGATGTTCATCTCAGCATTATTTACCATAGCTAAGAAATGGAATCAGCCCAGATGCCCCTCTGTAAATGAACAGATCAAGAAAATGTGGCATATATACACAATGGAATTCTATGTTTTCATCAGAAAGAATGACATCACCTCAATCATAAGGAAATGTAAAGACTTGGGAAAAAATCATATTAAGTGAAGTAACCATGGTTTCCTTCATTTGTAATAATTAGTATATGTCTAGGATAGTTCTAGCAGAGGATCATAATAGCTCAGTTGCTATATACATATGACTATATAAAATGATGCTAAACAAAATGAACTCCAAGATAGGAAACCAAGAGGTTTGGCGGGGGGTTCGGGAGGGGGGGGTCTGTGTATTTTGGTTTGTTTTGGTTTGTTTTTAGTGTACTGTTTTCAGTTACTTCTTTTTTTTTTCTTTCAGTTTTTTCCCTTGTTTATCCCCTATTGTCACTGTTTTTTATTTCAGTACCCTTTGTCTTGTATATAAGTTTGTCTGATTTGGGGAAGGGGAAATCACAGAAATGGAGAAACAAAGGACAAAGAGAGAACCAATGCAACAGTGATACTCACAAGACACTATGTTGGAAATGAATTTTACAACTTTTGGGGGAGGGGGGGAAGGAAAGGAGGAGAAAACAAGAGATGGGGTAACAACATTTGACAAAAAATGTACTCATTTCCTTACTTATGTAACTGTAAACCCTCTTTATATCACCTTTACAATAAAATTTTGAAAAAAAGAAAAGAAAACAATTTGTGTGTGTGTGTGTGTGTGTGTGTGTGTGTGTGTGTGTGTGTGTGTGTGTGTGTGTGTGTTGTTTAGTTTTGATCCAGGGTCTTGCTGTGTAGCATACAAATTAGCTTCAAATTCATGATCCTCCTGTCTCAACCTCCAGAGTGCCCAAGGTATACACTACTACGCCCAGCTTTGAAAGCAGATTTTATAAAACTACAATGACCTCATGATAGAGGTTAAGAGAAGAAAGCAGTCCTTTGATGAAACCAGCCTTCAGGGAGGTAACAACCTTACCTATCCAGGGCCCCACTCTGAACAAAAGTATTATTTCCTTTCCTAGACAGAACACAATGCTACCTCCTCTAAGGAGTTCATTCTTTTTTCTGCCAAATTTTTAACTCCAGTTACTGAAATAAAAATAAAAATTTGAGTGTATAAAAAGAAAAATTGTCAGGCCCTGATTCTTCTCTTCTCTATCATCTTAGCTACTCAGATGGCTGAGATTCAAAGAATATTGGTTAAAAGCCATCCGGGGCAGAAAAATCTGAGATGCTCTATGTCTATTTAACTAGAAAAATGTTGGGCTGGAGGCATGGCTCAAATAGTAGAGTGCCAACTAAGCAAGCATTGCCCCTGAATTCAAATCTGGGTCCTAACCAGAAACAAAAACCCAAACAGAAAAACTGAGTTGGGTAGTGTTGCCAGATTCAACAAACACAAAAGCCATCCATTTATATTTGGATTTCAGATTTAAAGAGTAAGTGATCTTTTATAATACTTTCCTAGTATTTGGAGCATATGTAATTTTTAAATGTGTTACTTCAATGTAATTCCAATGGAATGTTCTGTATTTCGAGTGGAAGCCTGAGCTGGACCTAGTTTCTCACTCCTATAATCCTACCCACTCAGGAGGCTGAGAGTTGAGGATGGTGGTTGAAACCAGCACAATCAGGAAGGTCCAGGAGACTCTTATCTCCAATTAACTACTAAAATAGTAATTATAATTATAATAAACTGCTGGATGTAGATGTATAGCTTAAGTGTTAGAGTGCCAGCCTTGAACAACAACAAAAAAATACTAAAGGACATGTCCTGAGGACAAGCCCCAATATCAGCACAAAATAACAAACAAACAAATAAATAAGATCAGCATGACTGTGCCCCACTCCCATTGAACAAAACTTGTGTTAGGCAAAGACAGAGCAAGTGAAAACATAGTGTGTGCAGACAGGCAATTGAGCTCCTCTCTGAGGCTCAAACTTTACATTTGTAAGCTTCAGTCTCTTCTGCAACAGAGCTATAAATCAGAGCTGAAGCTTCTTATAATATAAATCATCATCATAGGGAGCACAAATTACCTTTGTTTGAGGAATGAACTGCCATAATAATCCAAAGATGTAAAATCAGAACAAGCTAATCATGCAAGATCAGAATTCCAGTGTTAGTAGGAAGAGAGACAGATGTGGTGGCACATGCCCGCAGTCCCAACCTTCAGGGAGGAAGGAGGATTGCTAAGTTTGAGGGCACTTTGGGATGGATAGGGAGGGCCTGTTGTAAGTTAGTACATATGTTAGCAAGATACACAAGAGAGTCCAGTATACAAGGAATACGAAAGGAATTGGAGTGCACCTATTTGTTTGAAAAAAGCATGGAAAAATTGTTTGTTTATCCTTTTGTTTGGTTTGATGTAGTGTGTGTATATGTAAGAGAGAGACAGATAGAGACCAAGAGAAAGTGTGTCTGTGTGTGTGTGTGTGTGTGTGTGTGTGTGTGTGTGTGTGTGTGTGTACATGCATGCACACGCTAGCTCTAGGTCTTGAACTCTGGGCCTTGAGTTCTCATTGGGCTTTTTCACACACAGCTGCTGTTCTACCACTCAAGCCATACTTCCCAGTCTAGCATCTTACTGGTTAATTGGAGATAGAGTCAGACTTTTTCTTCCAAGGCTGGCTTTGAACTGTAATTCTCAGATCTAAGCCTCCTGAGTAGCTAGAATTATAGCCACCTGCACCTGGCCTATAATTTTGAGGACTGATCTTAAAAGTTAGAAAAGGACTTTATAAAAGAAGACAGCAAGAGAAGAAAGAGAAGAGGGGGTAGAAAGAGGGTAACCATGATCTAAACAAGAATGGAAGGCAGCACCTCTGAAGGCTAAGCAGCTGGAGCTTTAGATGAGTCCTGCCTACATTCTACAACCCACTGCTGGGCCCAGGTATAACCATCAGGGGGTCACCTTTCCCCCAGACCCACAAGAGAAGCTTAAAGTCGTCTAAGAGTTTCTGGATTTGACAAACATTCCAGGATCTCAAACCTCTATTGGGGCTCTCTCCTATGCTGTGTGAAGAAAGTCAGTACCACTGTAATGAGAGATTTAACTTACCTAGTGTCTCTGATCTTTGAACCCAAAGCTTCTGTAAGGTTTTTGCCTTGTCCATGGTTTCATAAATGTCCTCTGCCAGATCCTGTATCTCTTTTAAAAAAACCAGGCTGTTGATCTTTGTGTCATAAGCTGTAGTTTGGAACCTAGACAGACTTCAAATAAATCAAATAAATACAAGTATTGTACAAGAATGCTTTCACAGAAATAAGTTTCCCCCATATTTTGAAAGTTCAAAAGTTCAAGAGTTTTCAACTAAACTTGTGCCAAATTACACTCCTTCCACCCACACTGGAGAACTTTAACCATCATCCAAAACAGAAATTATCACTTAAAAAAAATTCAAGCAAGGTGCCAGTGGCAGGCAGGAAAGTCTGTGAGATTCTTATCTCCGGTTAAGTACCAAAAAGCCAGAAGTGGAGGTGTAGCTCAAGTGTAGAGCACTAGCCTTGATTACAAAAGCTCAAGCACATAGAGTGCATGTGTGCACGCATACACACACACACACACACACACACACACACACACACATACACACACACACACACACACAAATTAATATTAGAAAATAGTTCTTCTATTTCATTAGGTGTCAAGTTCCAACTTTCATATGTTCACTAACCACTTAATTTGATTTTGTTTTTGTTTTTGTTTTCTTTTTTGGGTCTGGTCGTGGGGCCTGAACTCCGGGCCTGGGCGCTATCCCTCAGCTCTTCAGCTCAAGGCTAGCACTCTACCACTTGAGCCACAGCACCACTTCCAGCTTTTTTCTTTTTACTTATGTGGTGCTGAGGAATCGAACCCAGGGCCTCAGGCATGCAAGGCAAGCATTCTACCACTGAGCCACCTTCCCAGCCCCTTGATTGTGTTTTTAACTATATTTTTTCTTTTCTTTTTTGGTACTGGAGATCTAACCCAGTATATTACCCTTGCTAGGCAAGCACTTTGCCACTGAGCTACATCCCAGCCCATGGTTTTGCTTTTTTTTTTAATCATATATATTGTAAATATATATATATATATATTGCATATCATATATATGCAAATCAATCAGCCTGGAGACAATAAATATCACTCCAGAAAACCCATCCATGCTTGTGTGCCTTAGCACATCGACTTGAAGTCTTTGGAGACAGAGATTCAAGCTAGACTTCCAGGGTACTGCTAAGAGCAAGAGGCAGATGGCACTTTCTCTTTTAAGATGAAAAACAAAAAATAAGATCATGGTTTACAGTGCCTCCCTGATGTTCAGGAAGAGAAGCAAGAGAGCCCTATGTGTAAATCTGGGATCCAGAAGGGCTCTAGTGTCTATCAGTTTTTCTCCTCCCTCTCTTTTAGTCTCAAATTGCAATCCCCATACCTCAGCCTCCTGATGCTGAGATTACAAGTATGAACCATTACACTCAGTAACTATTAACACATGTAGTCTTCTTCATTTATCTGAATGATTTGTGTTTTACATATGGTGTCCCTGATTGCTTTTGTAAGAAATATTTTTCTCATTTATTTGCCATTTATTTTATTTTAGTATTGAACAAAGTTACTACTACAAGATAATAGCTGATGTTAGCAAAATGAGTCCCTTCCTATAGCTTAGTCCTCTCCTTCCCTTCTCCACAGCTTAGCATGCTCCCTTCCTAGGCAACACTAGGCCCATGTAGTAAAGGCAGTAAGTAATCAGCCTGCAACCCTCCTTTACCTTGGGATGGCACTTCTCTGGGGCAGCTACCACCAAAGAAGGCAACAAGAGCCCCTTAGAGTGACCTTCAGGTCTGAACAGCTGCAGGACCCTTATCTACTATTTGGACAGCAGCCATAAATCCTAGTCCACTATGATGAAGCCTCTGCCCACGTGTCCACACCAGGGTCTTTGCCTCCTAGCCCCTTCTAGCCCCTCCTAAACTTCCTAGGTTATATAGGTCCCCTCAGGCAATAGCCTGTGCTTCTCATTCCTCCCTTGTGAGAAGGAGTCTTGCCGCCGCCCCCCCCCAACTCCCAGCAGTAAACTTTTCTTTGTTCTCTGTACCTGGATGTCTGCATGGTTCTCTGGCAAAGTCTAGGTAATCTAATTGAGCTAACAGCTGAACTCCAAGAGATGGAAACAAGAGGTGTTTTTGTTACTTTGCTTTTTGTTTTTGTTTTTATTTTCCCTTTGTTGTTGTTTTTTTATTTCTGTACCTTTTGTATGTAAGTTTAACTATTTGGGGGAGGGTAAGGGGAGCACAGAATTAGTGAGACAAAGGGTGGACTAATGCAGCAGTGATACTCACTAGACACAATGTTGAAAATGAACTATATAACTTGCCGGGGAAGGGGGTCCAGAGGGGAAAACTAGGAGAAAACAAGGGAAGAGGTGTACAAAAAGAAATGTATGCGCTACCTGACTTATGTAACTATAAACCCTCTATAAATTATCTTTACAATAAAAATAAATAAGTAAAAATTTATATCCAGAAGAGCAGAGAAGAATAGTAGATTCTACAAATTCTGATCCTAGAGTAGGTGAACAAACAAGCAGCATATGATTTTAAAGGGATTTTCTTTCACCTTTAAAATTCACCATGAAATGGAAATGCATTCCTTAGAGGGGTCAGAGTCACACCAGGTCACCTTAGAAGTTTGCTGAAAGCAGTGACTCCCAGAGGCCTTGTCCTACCAGTTTTCATTAGCTGGGGCTGGAGGCTGTTGGCAATCTACCTTGTAACCCACTCTGCACACATATTCCAACATGTACAGACAATCCATAGCTAACCCAACACTGGGGAAAATACAGACACTAATTCCAACTAACAAATGACAAAATTGCTATGTTTTTCTTAATTTTACAAATAGCTTGTATGGAAAATTTTTTTACTGGTACACAAGAGAAAAGTATTGTCCTGATCTTGGAAATCAGCACTATGAGGCTGTTTACATCTTATCTCAAAATCTGTGATAATTTATTCTTAATAAATCAACTAATCGGGAATAAAGTGGAAATCAGACACAAGTTACTGACAACTAGGAACTTTGAATTCAGTTGAATTTGTATTTCCAAAGCAGGAAGGGGGAAAGACCATAAATTTGAGGGGAATTTTTCCTAACCCTTTAGCCAAGAAATTTTCAGATTTTTTTCATCCCATGTCTTTATTTCACAAATTAAAGAACTTTGAAAATGCTTTAGTGGTTGTAAATATGTAAATATCCCATGGAAAAAAAAATAAAGCTTGAAGACAAAGAGTAAAAAGAAATCCGTTCTCTAAACATTGTCATTTAATTCTCCTAACCTATAAAGAAGTCAGAATATGTTCTGTAAACACTGATGAATAAAATAAGCTCAATGCCCTCCAGTGCATTTAGAGATGAGGAAATAGGTCAATTTTGTTTAAAGCAAGGAAAATATCAGCTGTAAAGCCAAGTCCAAGACAGGGAGAGATTACCTTCTTTGACACCTATCTCTTAGGCTCCAGGGAAACTAAACTTATTAAAGCAAGGCCTTCCACTTGAAAGAGTGAGGATTGCAAAAGCACAACAAGAAATCAGCTATTAACCTTGCATTAAAAGCTTAAAATTACCTCAGACCTCTGGAATTTATGAACCATGATCCAAACTCTCTGGCCTCACCCAAACTAGAGATTTACTTAACTGCCAGGTTATCTGATTTTAGAACCTGCTGTAATTCAAGAATAGTTCCCCTGTAATAATGAACCAGTTTGTGTTCTTTTTCTAATTATTATTTACAAGGTACTTCAATTGGTATTTAGCCAGAATAATAATGAACATCATTCATGTAAGGTAGTGTTTAGAGCAGGAAAAAAAGAAATGCCTAGAAAATCCTTCCTTAAACATTGATGCAATTTTGGCCAATCGACTTCAACAATTCATCCAAAAAATCACATCATGATCAAACAGGATTCATGTCAAGGATGCAAAGCTGGTTCAATATACACCAATCAATTAATATAATTCATCACATCAACAATAGCAATGATAAGAACCACATGTTATCTCAATACATGCAGAAAAAGCATTTGACAAGATCCAACACCCCTTTATGATGAAGGCTCTCAAAAACCTAGGAATCCAGGGAACATTTCTCAATACATTAAAGGCTGTATAAGACAAACCTACAGCCAGCATTATACTTAATGGTGAAAAACTAAAGCCATTTCCTCTTAACTCAGGAACGAGACAAGGATGTCCACTCTCTCCACTTCTCTTCAATTTAGTATTAGAATGCCTAGCTACAGCAATTAGACAAGATGCAAACATAAAGGGGATCCAAATGGGGAAAGATGAAGTAAAACTCTCCCTCTTTGCAGATGACATGATCTTGTATTTAAAGAATCCCACAGACTCCACTCCCAAGTTACTCAAGCTGATTCAAAACTTTGACAAAGTAGCAGGGTATAAAATTAACCTTCAAAAATCAATGGCTTTTCTGTATGCCAACAATGAGAAAAGCGTGCCTGAAATCAGGAAAGCAACTCCATTCATAATAGCCCCACAAAATATAAAATACCTAGGAATTAACTTAACCAAAGAAGTGAAGGACCTCTATGGTGAAAACTTTAAAAACTTGAAAAAGGAAATCAAAACAAAACTTAGAAAGTGGCAAAACCTCCCATGATCCTGGATTGGAAAGATCAACATTGTGAAAATGGCAATACTTCCCAAGGCTATCTACAAATTCAATGCAATACCTATCAATATTCCAACCTCATTCTTCAAGAAAATAGAAGAGGCAATCCAAAAATTCATATGGAACAATAAAAGACCCCAGATAGCAAAAATGATCTTCAACAGAAAGAACACTGCTGGAGGAATATCAATACCAAATTTCAAAATCTACTACAAAGCCATAGTAATCAAAACAGCTTGGTATTGGCACAAGAACAGACCTCAGACCAATGGAATAGAATTGAAAACCCAGAAATGAACCCACAGACCTATAGCCATCTAATCTTCGATAAGGGAGCTAAAGAAATAGAATGGAAGAAAGACAGCCTCTTCAGTAAATGGTGCTGGCAAATTGCTTAACTACTTGTAGAAAACTAAAGCTAGATCCTTATATATCACCCTGCACCAGAATTAAGTCCAAATGTATCAAAGACCTCAGAGTCAAAGCAGACACTGAAAATATTACAGAATGGAATAGGAGACACCCTAAGTCTCC